TGTTTCTTGTCTCACATCTCTCCTCTGCTGCTGTTTCTCGTCTCACATCTCTCCACTGCTGCTGTTTCTTGTCTCACATCTCTCCTCTGCTGCTGTTTCTCGTCTCACATCTCTCCTCAGCTGCTGTTTCTCATTTCACATCTCTCCTCTGCTGCTGTTTCTCGTTTCACATCTCTCCTCCACTGCTGTTTCTCGTCTCTCATCTCTCCTCTGCTGTGCCTGGTCATTTCTGTCAAGTTAATGTCTCACTGTCAGTGCTTAATGTTGTCTGTGTTTTCCATAAACAGTTTAAAAATTCAAGTGGACTATAAAGCACACAGTGAATGACAAATGATGCCCAGTTAAAGCAGCTACAAAGCAGACACCCGCCTGCCCCCTGCTCTTGCGTGATCCTCAGGAATATAAACATGGTGTGCCATAGCTGAGACCCCCCACCCTGTGTGCGTGGAGTTTGCCTGTTCTTCTCTCTGGGAGCTCTGGCTTCCTCCCACAGTGCAAGGACGTGTGGTTATGTGAATGCAATAGTTCTAAGCTCCCATTGTGTGTGTGTCCTTTGATGGACAGATAGCCCCGGCAGGGTGTTCCCCTGCTTTGCACCCTGTGCTGTGTAGTTGGAAGATGGATGGATGAAATGCTGTTCAAGCACAATCACCCTTGGTGGCTTAAGTAATGTTTTCTTTCTAATGTCTGCTCTGTCGATGCAGCCTGGGGGTTATATATTGATACAGCCTCTCAATGTCGTTACTCTGTGTATTACTTCTGTTACTCCACCCTCAGTATTGATACAGTACAGCCACTCTCAGTGGTGTTACTCTGTCTATTACTCCTGTTACTCCGCCTTCAGTATTGATACAGCCACTCTCAGTGGTGTTACTCTGTCTATTACTCCTGTTACTCCGCCTTCAGTATTGATACAGCCACTCTCAGTGGTGTTACTCTGTCTTTTACTCCTGTTACTCCACTCTCAGTATTGATACAGCCACTCTCAGTGCTGTTATTGTATTATACCTGTTACTATATTTCTCAACATTGATAAAGACACTATTACTTTATTTCACCTGTTTCTCTGTCTGTCTGTATTCATACAGCCTCTCAGTGCTGTTATTCTGTCTGTTACTCCTGTTACTCTGTCTCTCAGTACTGAAACAGCCTCTCGTTGTTGTTGCTCTGTCCATTAGTCCTATTATTCTATTTCTCGGCATTGATAGAGACTCTCGGTGTTGGTACTCTATTATTTCTGTCTCAATGTTAATACTGCATCTCGGTGCTGATATTCTCTCGCTCTGTTGATGTTGTTACCAGGGTAACCACTGCTTGCCTAGTAGGCATGTACCAGGGCTCTAAAAGATGAATTTCATATGGCTGCACCGGTGCTCTACCCTCCCAAAGATTAAAGGCATCGGAAAATAATGTGTGCAAAGCAGTTTTTCCGGACTCTCATCTCCAGCAGATCTTCAAAAAATGTTGAACTGAACCTCTCAATATTAGACCTGTTAATTTTCAGCTGGCTCGTCAAATCAGTTATCAGCAGATGACAGGTGACTCTGTTGGTCACTCATCTCTGCATGACCGCTACTCTTGTATCTGTGTCTGCAGTGAATGTGGCTGTCTTCCTTTTTTCATGTGTGAGTTTGTGTTTTTCCTGTGAGAGTTAAATCTCTCTTTGTTCAGGAAGTCCGGCCGTTGCAGAGATTATCAGCTGGTGACAAATTGTGTGAGAGTTAACTGGCTGATCCCCTGCCACCCCCATTAACACCCCCTACAGGAGTTTGAAAACGCAGAGGGTGAGGAGTACCAGGCCGACCTCTCCACCCTGGCCTCCCCCGCCTCACAGACCAGCCCAGAGGTCTACATCCTGCCCCTGACAGAGGTCTCGCTTCCTGTCTCCAAGCAACCAGGCAGATCAGGTAGGAAAGCTGTGGCAACCAATCATGGCGTAAATCTCGCACATGTCCTTGCCATACAGGCATCTGCAGTGACGGTTGTTTACCGCTTCTTACTCAATCTTCTCATTATCGGCACTCGGTTTTGCCGCGAATGACCTCAGTGAGTGATGGAGAATGGAACGTAGGTGTCATGATGTCATGTGATTGCTCTCCTGCTCCAGTAACGTGAGAGAGCCCTGTCTGTAAAGCCTTGAACTACCAGTACCATCTCGTAGCCTGTCTGTCAGTTGTAGCCCTTTAAGGCCTCTAAACTGCACCTGGTTGGCCGGCGCGGACGCGCTCTTTCCATCCATCCAAGTACTTGTAGCGTGACGTTAGAGAGACAGGACGTGCCGTGTGGCCTTGGCTCCCAGGTCCTTTCATGTCACAACAAAACAGCCAAAACAACAATGACGGATCAGAGCTGAGAAAAATGCAGTTTCCACGTCGATCCCCTTATCAGGTTTCCTTCCGCGGAAGCCCCGTCATCACCAGCAGGAAGTATGGAAAAACCCCCGCTCTCCATCCTACCTGTGACGCTCCGGACTTGTTCTTATCCCTGCGGGAGGCGGAGTTCCCTGGCATCCGAGAGGCTTCGCGGTTCTTTGGCAGTCGTCCCGACCTTTGAGCCAATCAGCTTTGCCATTGCGCTCTAGCCTTTGAGGCAGAGCTGCTGGATTTGGCAGCACAGTCATTGTCGTTAGCCCCCCCCCCCCCCCCCCCCCCCCGTGTGTGTTTGTGGGAGTGTCCAGGTGATCCCCCGGCTGGCATGTCTTTACACCCCCCCCAGCTGCTGACACCCAGAGTCAAACTCTTAAATCAAATTAAATTACTTTTACTTTTTTAAGTCATGTCACTTGACACTTGGTATGGTATAGGTGAGTGAAAATCCTGTTTGCACAGTTCCACTACAGCAGGCGAAATAGAGCAAATATTGGAAAATACACAAACATAATAGTAATAAATATAGTGTGCTAAAAAGAAAATAACTACAATCAACAGTAATACAGTAATTACTATTATTGGATGCAGTGGCAGTTACACAATGATCAATGTAGTATGGTGACAGCCATATGAGTATGGATGTGAGTATGAATGTGAGTATGGATGTGATGTGAATATGGAGGGCAGCGTGAATGGGGTCATAGACCAGATTTTGGCATGATGGTCTGGTGGAAGAATCAGTCCTGGAGCCTGCTGATCCCTGTGATTTCCTTGGCTGTCCACCCCCCCCGAGTGACAGCTTCGAGGGATGATTTTTGTCTTTCAGTATTGGAATCTTGGGTTTTCCTGTAACAATTTACATGTGAAAATGATACTTTTTCCTAAATGAATGAGGTGTTGATGTCCGTGGATGGCAGTGTCTGAGCTCTTGGCGCATCTCTGCCTGTCTGCCACCCCCACGGAGTCTCTGGTGGAGACAATGCCTCTGTTGTCCTTCAGTACATGGCACCCCCACATTCCGGTGACCGAGCCACCCAGACACTACACCTGAGTTCTTTATGCGTGCATCGTTGCCGTGGTGACTGTCCCAAAGGTGCCGTTGGGGCCAGGCTGTCTTCCGTAGTTTGGAGGTCAGCAATGTGACTCAGTCCTGGTCTGTGGGGTTTCACTCTCTTTGTCTCCATCCCGCCCCCTAGAGGCTGATATGTGAATAGAGGCAAGGATTGGCCTGGCCGTAACTGGGGTGTAAGAGAGGAGCAGAGCGAGGGAGGGTGAAGCTGCGTGTTTTGGGGGGGGTTTGTTTTATTCCTGAAACCCTCCCGGACGCCTCAGATCAGGGTCACTGATTTCCATTCTGAGGGAAATGGGCCCAGCTGTGCACACGCTACATCTGGGCTGATGTGAGCCAGACATGAGCTTGATCTCCTTCTCCCTTCATAGTCATCGGCAGGAAAAGACACAAGCAGCATCTGCACAGTTATTGGCAGTTAGAAGGAAGCAGAGCATTTCACCGACATGTGGCAGAGACAGCAGTGACAATGACCGCTGGTCTCTGGCCGCTGGTACTTGCTAACCACTGGTCACGGTCTGGCCTACATCTTAAAGGGACAAGGGCACAATTCTTGTCAGGCAAACAGGGAAACTGCTCGCTATGTTGGGATGGACTAAAAAAAGGTTCATTGACCACCCTATGATGTATGATATCAGATTACAGTTTCCTCCACTTGTTCAGTCTTTGTCAGACCTAGTTGGACATTTCATTGCACTAGTTTGCCATTTTGGCATTGTAGTTGAACAAGAACTTTTACTAGTCACTCTTTTTCAGCAACTAATTAACTAGTAACCTATTATTTTCTAATTTCTATACCAGTTAACTAATGAGAGCCAAAACACTCACTAGTTAACTAGTGAAGACCAAAATTCTCTCTAATTAACTAGTTGAAGCCTCTTTTGACTTAATTAATTACTCAAGCTCAAAAAGTTTATTGGTTAACTAGTGAGGTCTAAAACATCCACTAGCTACACTAATGAAAGACATTTTGACTAAAGTAGTCAACTAGTTGAACTACTGAAAATAAAAACGCTCATTAGTTCATGGATAAAAGCCTCTAATTACTAGTTAACTAGTGAGGCTCAGCATGTTTGCTAGTTAACTATTCAGGTATAATATATCCACTAGTTACACTAGTTGGGGTCTTTTTGACCTTACTAGTTAACTAGTGAGGCTCAGCATGTTTGCTAGTTAACTATTCAGGTATAATATATCCACTAGTTACACTAGTTGGGGTCTTTTTGACCTTACTAGTTAACTAGTTACACACATTCCCTTACTGGTAAACTAGTTAGGTCTAAAAATTCACTTGTGAACACTTGCGTGCATTAGATGATTTTTCATCAAAGTAATTAATGTTAATCTTCCTAGTTCCACAACACTGCTCACTAGTCAAACATGTACATGCAGCTAGTTCATGCAACTAGAAGCTTCAACTATTTAACTAGTGAGCATTTTGGAACTAGTGAAGGAAACTGACGTCTGATATCAAAGATACAAGGATATTAAATACATGCTGAGATGGCTTTCCATACACTATGACCAATGTCTACTACTACTATAAGTAGTTATCATGGTAATAGTAGTAGTATAATAATAACGTGCATCCAACTTTGAATCATATTAACTCATTCTGGCCACACTGCTTCTGCCCCCCCTCCCCGCCCGCAAGGGAAATATCTTCTTACCCGGCCTACACTATGGTGACCTCAGCCAGGTGACCTTTATGCACCCATGGGACCTTCTGGGAAGGGAGGGGGGTTTCAGCAAGCGGGAAACAGGAATACTTGATGTGAATTCCAGACAAAATGGGAAACAGTAATATAAGAGGTGCATTGTGGAGGGACAGTAGCAGAGAGGGAGGGACACAAACATGAGCAGAGATACCCCAGCTTGGGGGGCGGACTGGGGGCTGAGGTATTAGCTCAGCTGATAGAGTAGGGGCTTAGGGCTTAGTGTGCCAGCTGGGTGCCTGTACCATGCCGTGCCAAACGGCGGGACAAAGGGTTCGATTCTCCCTGTGATATGAGAGGAGGTCTGGAATGGCTGGCCTCAGGGACAGCACAGAGGCGTAAGAGTATGGGAATAATCCAGGACAGGGGCAGGAGGGGCGGAGCCTATGGTGGAGATGGAGGATCCATACTTGGGGGTGGATAGCTGCATGATAGAGGTCCTATTGCTCAACACAGAGCTCTGTTTGTTCAACCCATCGCTCGTAAAATGCGAGGAGACGGAGCGTGATGATGCCATCGTACTGCCCTCTCCGCCCCTCGGGGGTGCTTCAGCATGAGACCCCGGAGCCTGTCGGGTGTCTCTCTCAGGTCCTCATCTCCGTGGTTGACCATGGGTCTTGCCTCTCTAACTTCCTGGTCCGGCCCGTGACCAGTCTAAAACCAGTTTAAGAACGAGAGACGGTGAATATCTCAAACCTGATACTGGTATTACATCTCATCCGATTTAATCGCGTGGCGATGAGTCTTTGCACATGACGTCTACACCGAACATCTCCAGAGGACGTCATCTGAGGGCAGTTCTGGGATCATGCCGAGCTGGAGCATGCCCTCCCTATCCCCCAGGAAGAGGACCCTTCCATCTTCAGACAGACTGTTCTGTCTCGGTGCAGTTCTCGAAGACGAATGACCAATCACTCGCGGCATTATGAAGATTGGGTGGGGCAAACGTGAAGGTGACCTTAACTTGAGTTCTTTTTTTGCAGCGCATGTTTCATGCTCATTTTTCGAAGCCAGTCCAGTTTTGTTCGCGGTCAAAGTGGGGGGGTTAAATTGTGCTTTTAGCTCTGGAGGTTTGCGGGTCAAAGCTCCAAAAGTGCACTTGTGTTGGACTTTAAAACGAATCCAATCACACATAATGGTGAAAAGTTTAAATTTTATTGAGCTGTCTAGTTATGTAATATGATCTCTGAATATTTAATGGCCATTTAATTGAGCTGTCTTTCCAAGGATTGTAGAAACGTTGAATTAAATTACTGCACATTAAATGTACATGGAGATTGTCGGCCTTATGCTTAGGTACTTAAAGAGAAGATTGTCTTCTCTTAAAAGGCTCTCATTAAGTATCTAGTGCTTCTGCTCTTAGGACATTATTAGTTGTTTCTTTGGATTTTGAGAAGGTCCATTAAAGATGGTCTACAGACGTCATGAACGGTATCGTCTGTGCAAAGGGAGCTTGGACTGATCAAGGAAATCAAAGTGAAGATTACATTTATAGTTTTTCTACCATCATAGGATAATTTTAGATGTGTTTTTAGAAGGCAGAGCTGCTTTTTGGTTAGTTGAAAAAGCTCACTTTTTCACCTCAACAATTGAGGTTTTTTTTCCTGAATTGTGACCTGCCTTGACAGTCCATAAAGAGCAGGCTTTGTGCACTCTGCGACCTTCCAGCACTGCCGCGGTCTCAGCGTGACGCGGGGATCCTTTAAAAGGCTTCTCCTGCTCTGGGTTAATGTTCAATGGGGCAGTCTCTCTGTCACAGCGGCTCGTCCGCGGTGCGCTGAAAGGGAGCCGTTCTGGTGAAAGGTTTCCCAGGGACCGCAGAACCACGTAATTCTGCTGATCCAAGGAAACGGGCCACGAGTGAGCTTGTTTTATTCATTTCAGAAACCAAATGTAGGCAAAAATAGCATGGCTAAGCAAGGGATCATGTAAAAAAGTGGACCACATTTCTGCAGACCGGATACCAAAGACTCATTGCTCTGATACCTGCAGCCTAAATGTGTGGATTTACCCTGTCTTTGCATTGATTTGAAAAAAGATTCAGATTAAGATTCAGATTAAGATTCAGATTAAGATTCAGATTAAGATTTCTTCTTATGAATGTTGTTCTTATAGTGAGTGTCTAAGGCCAGCAAGTGAGACGATGTCCTCTGTCACGATGCTTCCTGTTGGGCCTGAGGCTGACTTACTGTCTGTGCCTGTCTCTCACCAGTCCAGCTGCTCAAGTCCACTGATCTGGGTCGTCACAGCCTGCTCTACTTGAAGGAAATCGGACATGGCTGGTTTGGAAAGGTGAGCTTGTCTCCTGACACACGTGCTTTGGGATTGGTCCGGATGTAGGTGGAAACAGCGGGACCCTCGGGATGAGAGGAGTATGGTTGTGCACCGGCAGTGTTTCTCATTGAAGCGGTGAGATCTAGAAGCTTCCGTGAGATCTGCCCTTTGTCTGCCTCCCTGCGTTACGGGTGCTGAGGAATGCACTCTTAATGACTGTCTTCTTCTCTGTCTCTCCCCTCGTCTTCCCTCGCTCTCTCGCCTGTCCGTCTGGCACCTGCATCCCGCGACTGGGGCGACCCAGGTTCTGCTGGGGGAGGTGAATTCGGGGCTTAGCGCCATGCAGGTGGTTGTGAAGGAACTAAAGGCCAGCGCCAGTGTGCAGGACCAGACGCAGTTCCTTGAGGAGGCCCAGCCTTATCGGTCAGCCCCCCCCCCCCAAGACAAACGTTCCTCATTGTTTTTGTCTGTCCATCTGTTTCCATTTGGACCCCCCCGCCTCACCCCCCACCCTCACCATCGGAGTACAGGCCTCATCTACTGACATCATTCAGCCCCGCTATTTTAAAATCTGTTCCCTATTTGACTGCCAGCCGTTCTCCATTCCCGTTTCACAGCTTAACAAAGCCGGCTTGGTTCTTGTTCTTCCTTTGGAATCTGGTCCTGTTTCGAAAGTGTTCAGAAACTGGGATTAATAACGAACAGTGATCCCGGGTATATTCCTCTCTTTTTGCTGTATATCTTCATTCCACCTAAACGTGCTGCCATCTTCAGCTCTGTGATCTGCATTATTATTTTTATGTGCGTGTGTCTATGTGTGGAGATAATGAGAGCTGCCTGGGGGGTGGGTGGCAGTGTGGGCGGGCACTTTTGGGTGGTAACACTGCCTCGCTTCACCCCCCAGCACCCTGCAGCACCCAGCTCTCCTACAGTGTTTGGCCCAGTGCACCGAGGTCACACCCTACCTGGTGGTGATGGAGTTCTGCCCACTGGTAAGCACATCATGGCGGGGAAACCACAGCAGCAATGCCGCCTGTCAGCTTTGTTGTTGAATGTGTCAGAGAAAAAAAACAGCACCATCTGCTGTACAGGATGAGGGATTGCATGACAAAATAGTGAAAATGATATACTTCAGTGCCTCATGACTGTATCTATTCCTTGGTTTACACCTGGTGAAGGAGCTGGATTATGGTTATTACAACAACCAAACCCACAGTAGGTGAAGTTACAGTGTGCTGTCAATCATTGGTTGTTTTGATTCAAAGGGAAACAATAGAACAACCAATGGGAATAGAGGGATCATTTTGTTGGTGAGCAACATGATACCCCTACCCACTGCAGGCTGCCTGTTTTCTGGATTTCAGTGTGATACCTGGTGCATTGATGACATCAACTGTATTATGTAATAGGTCTGTTTGGTCTTTCCTAAGCCTAACCCTTTCCTAAGCCTAACCCTTTCCTAAGCCTAACCCTTTCCTAAGCCTAACCCTTTCCTAAGCCTAACCCTATAGTTAAGAAGTATGAGGTTGCCCTCTGGTGTTCAGATGTTGTACCATCAGTTTCATATGAATGAATCAGACTTTATTTAGTATGAGGCATTTCAGAAGAATGTTTTACACCATAAAATGATTTATAGTCATATTGCAGAAGGCAAATATCCTTAGCTAAGATCTCAACATAGAGATTTGACCTGAGGCTTCTGACAGACATATATCTGTTGTGTTCCCATAATTCCAGTGGGGGAAGGCATAATGCTAAACTGAAGTTCTTGGTTTCCTGTGGTCTGTTGTTATCACTTCCTGTTACATGTCACTTCCTGTCACATGTCACTTCCTGTTCCCCCAAACTCAGGGCGACCTGAAAGGCTACCTCCTCAGTTGCCGGGCTGCTGACTCCATGACCCCGGAGCCCTTGATGCTCCAGCGGATGGCATGTGAGATTACATCTGGACTTCTGCATCTCCACAAACACAATTTCATCCATAGGTAGGACACTGTCTATGTACAGCTTTTTCATATTGTTGGTACGTTTTATTTTTATGGTGCATTACTGAGAATTTAATATGACCTGGTACTGCGTAATGCTTCCAAAGGCTAAATGTTTATTAGCCTCGCACACTGGTGACCATTAGTTCTTCCTTAATAGGACATGTCCTCTTCATTGCTGTGGGGTGTCGTGATATAGGGTGGGGGGTGTGGTACTTATCTGCGGGCTGCCCACTGGTATCTCCTGGCAACAATATCCTGGTGCTGCCTGAGTGTGCCTCACAGACTCCAGCATCAGTGATTTTGTTGCCAGGGGGGTTACCCCTCATCTGCAGATAAAAAAAATGTGGTTGCTACGGGTGCCTGTTACCATAGTGACACGATAACAAGAGAACAGGCTCGCGCTGCGAATCATTCTGTGACACCTCAGGGGCAGGATTCAGGGTGTTTGTGTGTCTGATGAGAGTCTAGATGTGGACCATCACACATTACTGGGGAATGAGTGTCTTGTGATTATATGTGTGCATACCGCTCTTCAGCCGTGTATAATAGTGGGTGTAGCACTGGTGGGTGGGAGCCGGATGGTCTCTTTAAAGTCAGGAGGACGGGGTGGTTGCTGGTGATGAAGGACTGTCTGTACCCAGGTTCACAGGTATGTTTAAACTGGGAAGATGTGCTTCTACCCTAAAGAGTGGTGGTGGGGGGGGGGTGTGGAGCCCTCTTTGCCCAGAGACGCTGACAAGGGTTAATTGTGGGCGGTGAGACAGTAGCTCGGGTCATGCCCAGGTAACTATGCCAGAGATGTAGGGCAGTGTTACCCAAGCCGGTCCTCTGGGACTGTCTGTGTGTCCCCGAGGACCGGATTGGCAAACACAGGTGTAAGGGGGTGTCAGGACTCCCAGAGGAGGCTCACAGTGTCTCTTGTATTTTGCCTAAACCCCACCCTCCCAGTGACCTTGCCCTGAGGAATTGTCTGCTAACTGCCGAGGCGACCGTGAAGATCGGAGATTATGGGCTCTCGCAGAACAAGTACAAGGTGTGTGGCATTTTTGATTCCTGTACGCTTTCCATGGTACTCGATACCAAAATGTGGTTCCTTAAGGGAGAGTAGCCAGTGGGTAAATTTATTGACCCCCCAGCCCTGTTTTTCCTCATGCTGCCCAACCCACGCCATGCAGGAAGACTACTTCGTAACGTCGGACCAGCTGTGGGTGCCTCTGCGCTGGATCGCTCCCGAGCTTGTCGACGAGGTCCATGGCAACCTGCTGGTTGTAGATCAGACCAAGCCTGGCAACATATGGTAAGCAGTGTGAGGTCTGCTTCCAGGACACTTACTCCAAGTTGCTTTTATGAATTCCTGATTATAACAGCAGTTCCCTGCTGTAGCCAGGCCCTAATCAGTGTGCCCCCTGCTGTTAACACTAATCTGCTGAACACAAATCAGGCTTAAAAAAAAACAGACACATTCTCTGCCCATGTGAGAGAAAACAGGCCTTAGGGTTGGAACAATTATGGCATTTTCAGGCATCAGCATGTGTTTTTGTGACAGTTCTGCACCCCCGTAGTATAGAGAACCACAGTTTAGCATACTTTAGTAGCATATTTCCTACTTTCCAACAGCCTATTTTTTCACCCTAAGGCCCCAAATTAGGGTTAGGGTTAGCAATCTGAGGCTAGGGTTGGGGTTAGAAAAAGTATGGCATTTTCAGGCATCAATATGCGTTTTTATGACAGTTCTGCTCCCCTGTAGGATAGAGAACCACAGTTTAGCATGCTTTAGTAGCATATTTCCTACTTTGCAGTAGCCTGACCCATGGGTTGGAATGCTTGAGGTCCCTCTGGCCCTGTTTCAGGTCCCTGGGGGTGACGGTCTGGGAGCTGTTTGAGCTGGGGAACCAGCCGTACCGGCAGTACTCGGACAGGCAGGTGCTCACCTATGCCGTGAAGGAGCAGCAGCTGAAGCTGACCAAGCCTCTGCTAAAGGTGCCCCTTTCTGATCGCTGGTGAGTCATCAGTCTCCTGACCAATCAATGCACGTTTGGAACCATGTGCCACCCAGTCACCATCATCCATGGGTGTTGTTTAGGGAGACGGCCACCTATTCACCAGAGATCCATATTGCCTGGATCAAGTGACCAGTATTATGGCCAATAACCCATTGATTCACATTTTGTTTTGAGTTGTTCCCATAAGAGTGTTTCTAAAATGAGGGGCGCATGCGCGAGTGCTGACCCTCAGCAGTGGCATTTAAATCTCTCACTTGGAGTAAACTGGAATGATTTTATAACATATTTTACTTATATTTAGTTGCATTGACGTATGTTTATTGTGTATAGTGTTGTTTGTATTGTGTGTTCAATTACGTCACTGTCAAAGATGAATTTCCAACTGATGTAAATTTGATGGACATTCAAGAAATATTCTATTCTATTCTAAATTTTTCTGCATCTTTCCTGACCTTGTTTCTTCATGCCCAGGTACGAGGTGATGCAGTTCTGCTGGTTGCAGCCAGATCAGAGGCCTACAGCAGAGGAGGTACACCTGCTGCTCAGCTACCTGTGCGCCAAAGGCGCGAGTGAAGCCGAGGAAGACTTCGAAAAGCGCTGGAACTCCATGCGACCCAACAACAGTCATTGTGCCGGCCTCGCTGGGGGCCTGCCTCCATCCTGCTCCTCATCCTCCTTCCCACTGCTGGAACGATTCTCATTGGCTGACAGCTACCAGCCCGAGCCTGGTGATGATGTCCTGACAGTTACCGAGACCCGTCACGGACTCAACTTTGAGTACAAGTGGGAGCAGGCTCGGCATGAGCCGCCCTACCGCTCATCCTCCACCAGCGGACCCCTAGGTCAGGGTGATCCTCACTACCAGGACATCTACTATCCTTCTGTTGGCAGCTGTGGGGCAGATGGACTCACACTTGGGGTCTCACCATCCTACTACGACTCGAAGCAGCTACACACTCCTGGAGTGGTTCCTGTGCTGAGTGCACACAGCCCATCAATGAGCAGCGAGTATTATATTCGCATTGAGGAGCCTGTGGACTGCCACATTGACAGAAACTATTCCGTATGCCCCTATAGCCCTGGATTTGAGGGCAGTGCTGATGGGGGCTTTGTGGTTGGGAGTGGTGAGCCAGTAGGCTGCATGAATTGCCCCTCAGAGGCTCAGCCCAGCTCCTTTTGGTCAACAGACGTTCACAAAGCCAGCGCTTATGACTCAGACAATAGTCCAGCCATCTCCCTGACCATGGAACCCCTTTTAGGCCAGGTGTGCAGCCCCATGCAACCATGGGAGTCAGGCCACTATGTGTCCTACAAGGATAGGGATGGTGGATACTACTATGACCATTCTCCCGCCATGGAGATGGACCACTATTTAATGGAGGACAACATGGAGCCCCAGGAGGAGAGTTGGGGATCCCGAAGCCTCCGTCAAGCATTGGGTGAGCTGGAGAATCCACTCGGTATCTCACCTTCTCTTAGTGACCCTAGGCAGGGGTACGGTGACCCCTGCATGGCAGGTGAGTGCTACTATGACATGATGGGCTCCCTGAGGAAGACCATGCCCCGGCCGCACTCAGTCAGTATTGGTCCAGAGGGCCCCCTTTTCAGGGACAGACGAGATAGTGACCTGGAAGAAGACGACCTGTTTGTAGAGAGGGAGGCCAGAAGCTGGGCCTCGAACCACTCCGCTAACAACAACAGCTTGAACTTCTCCCGGAGGCCAGTGAGGTGCAGCCAGGACACCTACGTGGATTACCATTATACCATGCCTTCTACAGATGTGGAGGATTTGTGGCCACAGATGGACGTCAAAGAGAAGTCAATGTTCCGATCCAATAATCCTCTCTGCTACCCAGAGCCTATGAGAAATAATGCTGGTTGCCTCACCCTCAGCAAACACCACTCACTTATCAATCCCAGGGAGTGTAATACTTGTGTATACCCGTGCCACAAAGGCAGGGAGGATCCAGTATCACCAGTCAGGTACTGCCAGACTATGGATGGTCCACAGTCCGTCGATCCCCTGTCTGGTACACTTGTCAGAAACTATGGCATCAATAACTACTTCAGAGAGAAGAAAACTGAACCACTCCATGCAGACAAAGCCAAGAATCTGTCTACCTTACCCACATCCCTTATTGGAGAATGTGTTTTATCAAAATCCCAGATGTCAGATATGAACAGAACCCCTATTCTTCTGGAGCACTCAGAGCACCAAACCAGTCTTGGTGGGGAAATTTTGGGGAAAAAAGGTAAGGAGCAAGAAGCGTCATCTACGACAGATGTTAAATTCATGATTCCGACTGTCCATATTGGGACAGAGAAGGCCACCTCGCCAGATCCAGTTTCAGACAGCAGTCAGCTTGCGGACAGCGGTGTTGAGAGGGGATGCTCCAGCATCAGCCTTGTGGACATAGATGACTGCAGTGATGAAGATATCACAGACGTTACCTCAGGAATCTTTGTAGATTTTATAATGGATTATGCAGATTCGGGAAATGCTCCAGCCGCCTTAAAAAATCCCCAAGACCCGGCGGAAACCCCAGATTCTGTTGATTCCATTGATTTACCGTCTACTGCTGGCTCGTGCGATGCCTTAAGCCCTGCTTCTTTTGATACCTCCAGCCCACCTAAAGCCCACGACAGTGGCTATGACACTGAGAACAATGAATCCCCAGAGTTTGTTATGAAGGAACCTCTTGAGCCACGGGACCCTGAAGGGTTTTCCCAGTGTCTAGGGAAGACATCTTTGTGTGGAAACCTAGCCCCAGGAGTCACTGAAGCCAAAGTGGTCCTACAGGCTGGAATGGATGATAGTGCAATTCCAGTTGTCTCAATGACTAACAGCACAGAGCTTGACCTTACAAGCCTATGTGAGAAAAACCCATATCGGGATTCTGCCTATTTCTCTGACTATGATGCAGAAAATGAGCGATTTTCCCAGGATAAGGAAGACAACCTTCTGGACAAACTAGATTCCGATGACTTGGTACAAAAGGAAGATGGTAATAAGTCCCCAACAAAGCCTATGGAGAAAGAGAGCTTGAAAACTCTGCAATTAGAAAAGGAAGAAGGAGATTGGAAGAATAATGAAGAGGATCACAGTGAAATTGATGTGGATGTTAAGAAGCTTTCCCCCCAACGAGAGTTCTCAGAGACCAAAGTATGTGTCTCCTCCTCAGGACCCATGTTCTCCATGCTCTCCCCTTCTCCACCTGAAATGGGGGGTTGCCTGACAAAGGAATCTTCCCAAGATGAAGGCTTAGGGTTGGATTCTGAAAATCCTGGGGAGGAAGCATCCTCTGAGTCCTCTTCCTCCACAGTTTCTGAAGCAACATCTGTCCAACAACAGCCCTCAACTTCAGGAGATGGATGTAAAGAATCTGGGGGTGCTGACGACTCCCCGGCAGAACCTCTCATCTCTGATTCTGCCAGCACAGACAGCAATACGGAGATGCCCGCAGAGTCCAACGATGACAAGACGGACCCAGTAGAGTGTGGGCATCTCCAGGAGGAGGAAAATGGGCAAGATAACGTCTGTTCCAGATCCATAAGTGAAGATCAGGAAGCCCAGGCTACAGACACAGTGTCAGATGGTCTGATGAATATTACTAAATGTCCCTCATCTCCTCCTCCTCCACCCCTGCCTCCAATCGAAAGCAGGATTTCACCAGGTGATGGGGAGGAAGCCGATTCAGAGGACAGCGAGGAATCAGATGAGGAGCTGCGCTGCTACAATGTCCAGGAGCAGAGTGAGGAGAGCGAGGAGGAGTCCTCAACTGTGCCCGTTGTGGTGAGCGACTGCAGCGATGCTTGCCACCTTCGCAGCCTCCTCAAGATGCCCACCCTGCTCCCAGAGTCCTTCAGTGACGAATTTGACCGCAAGAAGAAGGCCGTTTCCTTCTTTGATGATGTCACAGTGTTTCTTTTCGACCAGGTATGCCTACTCTACTTTTTACTTTCTTACACATACAAGATGTGTTTTTCAACCAAGACTTATGATGCTCTGAAGAGCTCTAATCTCTAATCTCTTCTCGGTGTTGTCTAGGAGAGCCCGACACGGGAGCTGGCAGAGGATGGCTTCCCCCCTGGGGCGGAGTCCTGCGGGCAGGGCTCAGGAGCCACGGAGCCACACGCCCAGGAGAAGGTCAATGCCACCTCTGATGAATCCTCAGATGGAAACATCTCAGAAGAGAGTAAGTCTGGTGACTGGTTTTTATTGCCAACAGCTACAACACACTGGGGGCGGGTTTCTTGTTTCCGGAGCTCCATCCAAAAAGTCAGACTATCACCCAAGTGAATATTGGCGGCCAACAGGGGCCCCCCAAACCTCCATGGGGGTTCAGTTATAGGCTTAACTGCCTTATAGCAGTCAAAAATATACTTATGATACTCAAAGAGAAATGACTGCATCAATACTCCAACATTATCTGTCTCTGTCTCGGGGTAGGTGCAGGTTTTGAGTGGGAAGATGATTTCCCCTTGTTGCCCAATGCCTCTTCTGTGGTGGCCACAAGAAGCACCCCAGAGAAGCCATCAGCCCCCAGGCAGTCTGCTGATCCTCCAGGGCCCAAGCCAGCATTGCAGTTCTCGCGCTTCACTGTCTCCCCATCCTTGGTCTCCCGCTTCTCCATCACGCATGTATCCGACTCCGACATCGAATCTGCAGGAGGTCTGTCTCCTTTTCACTCTTCACATTGACAAAGAGACAAGCCAGTCATGCTACCAAAATTTATGTGCATAACAATTTCAGGGTGTTGATTTAAACGAACGTTGTTATTTGATATGAGGCTGGTCAATGTTAGCATGCTAGCATCCCTATGATTTCATGTACTTTTGTAAGTTTTGAATCAAGAACATATACAGGATAGAATGATAATCATCCTTCATTCATTTACCAGTATCATTTTTTATAAAGAAAATAATCACATATTTGATTAGCATTGTTGGCCATGCCTGACTGTGTATCCTCTGTCCCACAGGGAGCAGTGAGGACGGTGAGAGAGAGTGAGGCATGGAAGTAAACCCCTCTGCTGGTCTACGTGTTAGGGACTCTGTCTCTTTTATTTGATGTTTTTGGAACATGGACAGCCACCCTAAGATGGCACGTCCTGGTGATTGGACACCATCAGTTGAAAAGGAGGCTTGAGTGAAGTCAGCAAAGAAAGAGACAAAATTAAATTTCTATATACATATTTATATATATAAATATATATAAACATGCAGATTATGACATCACCTTTTCATCTCTTCAAATTTGTGAAATGAGACCGAACAAAAAAAACACACAAAGGACACTTGCTAGATATCACTGCTGTTTTTATTCACTGGCTCTTCATTTGCAGTTTGTTCACACAGTTACAGCAAGATTTTGACAAGTATGAATATTTTGCAAGTATTTATAGTTCTGGGAACCAGAATGATTTTATTGCGGGAAGGGAAAACCAATTTCTTTTCATTCATTTGTTAAAAGTACCTTTTCTTCATCATGGACATGAAATGGCGCAGATTTCCTCCTTTCACAGTGGTGACTGGATCCTGTGTCACAACCTCTCAAGGGACACCTTTATGTACACCTGGGCACACATCTGGCCCAGCGAGCTGAAAGACACCTAGGTGTGCACCTCGTTCCACACTAAGTCCATATGAAAAACAGACACACATCCGGCCTCACACTTGATTAAGAGATCTGACTGATCCTTTAATGGACAACCACAGAGGATCTTTTGTGTGGTTTCCTTTATGTGGACATCCTTTCCCAGAAGCATGGCTCGTGTGCAGCTTGTCGTATGGGTGCCAGTCCGAGGATAAAGGTCATAAGTGTTGACAGGCCGCATTCCCGCCAGATCAGGCTGAGGGAGTTTTGTTCTGTTTGATCGTTTGTTTCTTTGTTGGTTTAAAGTGAATGTTATATGCCAAAAAGATGGGGGCCAAGACAACCTGCCTACCCCACCCACCCAAAGCCCTAGGATTTACAGGCATAAAACAGATGCACTATGGTAAAGAGTAGCAGAATTTAGAAATGATCTGTCACATCATGAAGTTTATAGGAAGATAATGATCTGTGAGCTGGCATGTTTTATGTTTAGCAGGCAGGATAAGAGAGTTGGACATGTGACCCCTGTACTATCCTTCAGTTTGAAATAAAAACAAGATGCAATTTGAAGGACACACGAAACTACAAACTTTTGTGGAAAAATAAGAGTATGTAAGCATGTCTACAACCCAGTGTTGGAGATCACAGTACAGATAATTCTGAGTCATTAAAGTTATCTTTCTGAGATATTTATAATATGTAATGATCATGCGGTATGTTCAGTGTTAACATTTTTTTGTATTTTTCTTTTCAGTTGTCTGTAGAACCTTTTAAAAAGTATGAAATGCTATGTGTTATATGAAGATGTTACTTTAGGTTCTGAAGGGAATTCCCACACAGAAGCTGCTGTGGGCAGGAGCAGAGTCCCTCTTGTCAGGACATCCTCTGGAGCTGTTTGCCACTGGCCTTGAAGACACCGAGTTCTCCGTTTCGAGCCGAGTGTTTTGTGTTACATTCGCCGTTCGGGTTCAATATTCTGTATCTGTTTGGCATAGATCTAGTTAGACTGCAGTCTGTACTATTTTTGTAACTGAAAAGGCTTTAAAAATATAAAAATTCATAAAGACTAAAACAAAATGTTGCCAAAGATATGAAATAATCTCTTGTGAAGGCATGGTGGATTGTGATTAGTTGAACCTGTTTAGGCGATGTGCCCTGCGATGGGTTGGCGCCCCGTCCTGGGATCTTCCTGCCTTGCGCCTGTAGCCTTCGGGATAGACCCCCCGCGACCGTGAATAGGACAAGCAGTTACAGAAGATGGATGGATGAATGGATGGATGTTTTGGCCATGAAACAAACGGGACCTTCCTTACACAGCTTCACTTTTAAATGGATTTAAAACAACAAAGAGTTTAAATGTGGATGCTGCTTACAAGATATGTACCTCGGTACATCACAACACAACCACATTCTCATCCACCCAGTAGGTTTGTGGGGCCTGGAGCCTATCCCAGTGAGCGTGATGGGTATGTCCTGGCCGTGATGCCAGTCCATCACAGAGAACACACACACTCAGACTTACGTGCACAGTCACAGACTATGGGCAATTTATAGACGACATCTACTATATACAAAAGATGTAAAAATACAGAGCTAGACTTGAAGCACAGGAGTTTTCCAGTTTTAAAGTAGTTTGTAAAGTGGCAGCTCATAGTGTCCCTCCTTTCCTGGATTAGGGGTCACTCTACCCTTAACGCCCAGCTCCATGGACACTGCTACAGGTGGCTGCCCTTCGTTGCCTTACATATGTGTCTTTGGGTCATGAAGAGGAAGGATGGGGTAGGTGAAAAGAGATTTCAATGAAGTGTCATCATTGATTGATTCATTCATAAACACTCAGACACAAAGCAGAAGCACTGGGTGGGTCAGCTGTCAATCACTACCTGGTTGAACCAATGGGAAACCTGCCAATAACTGATGGTCCATAATAATGAGCCATACAAATTTAAAGCTTAACAGTCACATGACCACATGATGTCTGTTTCCCATGAAAACTGCATCGATACTCTACATGCTATCAAATGCACAATTGAGAGTTTGGGGGAGCTATGTGCAGCACAGACTGGCGTCAGTGAGTATCCAATCCAGACACTGTACCTTGGTACCACTGATAATCAATGATGACAACCACAGCCAGTAGCTCTCAGCAGTGCTTCTTAATTTATTGACATTTATTTCATATAAGTCATGTATTCTTGATTACAGCAAAGATAGTGACAATGTGAAACAAGTGGAGGACAGTGAATTTACATAGAAAACAGTAAAAAAAAAAAAGTTCAATTATTTGTTTACAAATCCGGCACTTGGCCAATAGGGCTGGGACCTCTTGCTCTCTCTCACACACATAAATATATGCATCCTGGGAATAGGATTTTGTGAATCTTGACTGATAATAATGCAGAAATATTGTATTTCTTCAGACCCAGTGTGTGTCGGTGAGGCTTTCAGTGTTACATTGCAAAGGGACATTGTCTTCACAACATTTTCTACCCATCATAAGCAAACACACATACTGAGGGGACCCTCAAACTTTGAGTCCATGTAAACAGCTGTGCACTGCGACACCTACGTGAACAGAGCAGTGTTTTCAGACATCGGCTGCTCCATTATATTCAACTGGTTTCTTTGTTCCGTTCCCAGCAGCTTGTTATGACTGAAAACACAAACAGCCTTGTTCATCACGCCACATTTTTGGCCTCCAAAATCGACTTAAACACAAAAATTTATTGCAATACTTTGGACACAAAATATTGCGCAGAAAATAAACAATTCCCTTATTTTGCGTTAAGACAATGATCTAGGCTTACGAAAATGTGCCATTATTTACAACTGGGTTATAAAAAGCATCTGACAGTTTTATCTACAAACATACAAGCATCTTTCAGTAATAATATAAACTATTTCCTCTAATATTTTACAACTGCTTCCGTTTACAAGAACACATAACCTCAACGGCTATATCTGAAATTCCACCTAATTACACGGAAAAAAACGAACTAAAACACGCTACAAAGAGAATGACCATGAGGAGTTCTGCATTAATGACCAGAACAGCCTTCAGTGTCCGTCACCGAGCACAGCGACACAGAGATGGTGGCTCGGCAATTTTAGAAGCCTCCTAACATTTATACAGCAGCACGTTTCTCACAGAACACTAGTACTTCGGCTTATATAACTTGCCAAAAGATCCACCAGCAGGGCCCACCAGGGACCTTTCGTCACAAACACTGTTCTTTTAAACCCAGCGCTGGTCATGTACAAAGCATGTGTGTTAGTTGTCTTTTATGGCACCCCCACGAGAACCTAAACGCGCCAGTTACACGGAGGAGAAGGAAATATGTATAATAATACATTATATCTGAATCCAGGCTTGGTTTTCGCACATCGCACAAGTGGCTGAGCTGTGTGTAATTTATCCCCCACCCTGATTAAAAACGCTTACAAAACGAGTCAACTCAAACAAACTTAACACCTTGAGGGGAAAAATCATAAGAGGCAACGAAATAAATGAAGTATGCAGACTTTGCATTGCGTGGACTTGTACAAGTTAAGCTCACGGCCCCTTCAGACGACTAATATTATTCGTCAAAGGCAAGACATGAAGGACGAGTGTCTGGTACCGTTACATCTAGCTGAACAGGTTTGACAAACATAATTACAGCGGCTCTTTCCATCGTGATCAGCGGTAAATCAATACCTAAAGTGCTGCAGCTCCAAACCACCTAATACACTTGTAAAACAAGATTAAACAATATTTCGTATCCTTTGCCAGGACCCATTGATGAAGGAGAATTACCTTCATCCACGCAAGGGATTAGTTGAGATCAAAATGCAAAATAAATGCGATTAAATAACAAGGTGAATCGTGTCTTTAAAGATAAGAGCGCAGTCGTGGTGGGGGAAGGGCGCCCAAACCGGCGGTGAGTGTCATTGCCGTGCGGAGCCGTGGAACCGGTCGATCGGACACAGCAATCCCATCCCATGAGCACCACTGAGCCCCAGTCTCCTGGTAGGTTGGTGCAAACGCGGGTTTTGGAAAGCACCAGTGCAGTGGGAAATTGTAACGGTTCGGTGGCAGCCAGTATCGTTACAAAAACTTCACTGCAACCCGGAGTAAAGCTACTTCAAAACATATAGATAATGTTTTAAACAATCATAATTCATAGTGAATGAACTCAAAAAAGACAGCTTTATAGAGCCGGTGGACAGACAGTTTCAAACCCACAGCTAAATGACAGTGATACGAACAGCGAGTTACTTGCATAGCAGTTGCGCTCACAGAACAGGCTATTGCGGTTCCATGGAGTCAAGGCCGGGCACAGAGATCGTAACTAAAGCGCCCACATCGGGCATGAACGTGTCTGTGAGGTCGGGGAGACTTAAGCTTCGGCTAAAGAGCCATCATCGCCGCAAACGACAGCTTTGCGAAGTACTAGCCAACTTCAATGGCTCCCATGAAGTCGTTAGTCAGGTACATACAGTAATTTCTAATTTATATAGTTACATTAATGCGTTTCCATCATAGCATAATCAACTAAGTCAAACAGCAACAGCAGCTACCCCCTTTATCAATTATATTCCTGTACATACTGTAGCAATAATCGACCATTACTTAAATTATGGCTTAAAACGCATTTGAATAAGCTAGCTACAAGTAAAGTGAACCTTTTAAAAAAAAAAACCTGATTTGTTTTTCACTTTCGTGCATGCCTAGACTACTCTAGATGTCTTTATACACACAATATTGATAAATACACATTGGTAGGATAATAAGCTAATAGGGAAGGACAGTTAATGTCAATCTGTTTCCATGAACGGAGGATTGTTAGGGTTTGAAAAGGAAGAAAATCCTTCAAGTTGAAGTACATTGTGGTTTCATACATGCTAAGGAGTTTGCTGGGGAACCCCCAGACTGAAGTGGTATGCCATTTTACTTTATAATAGTTATTAAGAAACAAAGACAGTCCCTATCAGTCCATACCGATCTGCAGCCTACCAATGCAGTGAACTGAATATTGAGTTGAGATCTGCCCTCGAAAAGCACAGAAATAAGAGCACAATGATAACATTTGAATTCCAGAGTAAAAACTTGAACATCTTAAATATATTTACATAGTTCTGTAGGAAAACTAAACTGCCTGATTGAAGAGACCCCTTCAACCTGCATCTCCTGCTCTTGACCGATGGGAACGTAAGAGGAAAGAGTGATGGGCTGCGACTGGGGTGGTCTGCAAGCCCCAAGGTTAATCGCTGCCAAAGTATCCGTTATGGGAATTCCCCCTCCCCTTGAGGAAGGAGAAGCACAAAGCCTGGTGGGAGAAGGACCGGCAGTGGTATCAAAGGACGACGCGTGTGAGATGGGCGGTGACGTCCCCGGCCATTCTGCTCTCACATCAGTGTGCCCGTTTCGGCTGCAGGACTCGCCCAATATTTTGCTTGGAACCCGTCTTCCAGCTCTGACCGCTCTGTTGTGCTGTTGATAGTAGTTTTACAAGGGAATTACAATTGACCTCTGAGCGGGCTTCTCTTAATAATAAGCCTGTCCAGATGCTATCAAGGAGACTATAAAACAAGAACAAAAATTGCACAGGTTAATGTTTCTGCCACGCTTCCTCCTGGGATTGTTCTATGGATTTGTTTGTTCGCCTTTGAAGTCTCATATTGTCAGTGGTAGATGCTGCACCCTTCGGGCTTACATGTGGTGGATTAAGAAGATGGGATGAATGATTCCTGGGAAGCCAAAGATTCGGTCAACGAGCGGAAGCGTGATCCGGTACAGGAGAGAGATGCTGAGACTGCTGGCCGTCTGCTCCCCCCACCCCCCACCACCACCTTCAAGCTCCCCCCCCCCCTTGTGATAGAGGCCCCCGGCCGTTGGCAAGATGAGCTGGACGTCCTGGAGATGCTAATAGAGGATAGAAGCGGATCTTTCATAGCTGATGGCTGGCCTGATGCTATCTCCCACGACTTCTCTGCAGCAGGAGGGAGGGAAGTAGCTGTTAGAATGTGCAAACACAGCCCCAAAACACAAGGGGGCGCCAGGTAGCTGGTACCTTGGGGACTCCCACCGCAAAAAGTTCTACTGGTTTCTACAGACACTGACCCTTTTGGACTACCTCTAAGCAGTCATGCAGTGAGTACTGGATTCGAAGGAGTCAGCGATCGCTCTGAGCTGGCAGGATAACGTGGACATGCCAGGCCGGTTCGTGTGACTCAGGCTTTACCAACCAACAATCTCTTTGGATTCGTTGGTTGGCAAAAATGACATCTCAGCACAACGAATATCCGTCCTGAGATGCCACAGGGTGAAAATAACGAGCAGCTAAGCCACGCCCCCTTGATGGAGACACATAGCGTAACAGCCAAGTACAACAAAGAGAGGAAGAGTGAGAGAGACAAAGGAAAGAGAAGGAATGTGATTGGTTGGCTGGATGGCAAGGAAGGCCAATCACTTATGGGATGTTCTGCTCTTTCAAAACCGGGCAAACTCTGGACCCACACTGTAAAGAGATCCCAGGGATTTGTACTTTATTGTTCAACGCAAACAAGTGGTTTTATGTCATTTTATTTGGCATAATGGCTAAAAGACCCAAGCTATGCCTTGGAGTATAAAATAGCAAAACAAAAACTAATTTATATTATTTATAATGCTACACAAATGTCTTTGGTTGAAATACCCCGCATGATACACTAATAATTGCTGTTTTTACACTAAAAAAATTCATAAGTTTTGTCAGTTTTTGCACGGTGAATCCTACGAATTTTCTGTTATTGAGAATATTACAACCCTCAGCTCTAGTATACCGGTGAACATGGGTGAACATTCTCTGAACATTTCAGTTTTGGCAGCTTAAACATTAACCACATCTGCTAGCATACCTAACAGTTTGGTCAAATGAAACAAGCTAAAGCAGAGAATCTTCAAATTACAATAGTCAAATGCACCAAATGGGGTTTCATGTTCTAACAGGCATATTTAATTCTCTAATTTCACATTAGGAGGTGACAACCCTCCTTCAGCCTCAAAATAACATTACCACTTTGGCTATGTGAAGTCCTCAAAGAGTCTCTCTGACTTCTTAAGCAACTTCAGAAATACTGACTATGTACCACATTTAGGGAATGCTAAGTATTAAATGCTACGTACCACATTTAGGGAGTGTGAAGTAATAAATGCTACATACCACATTTACGGAGTGCGAAGTAATAAATGCTACGTATTACATTTAAGGAGTGCTAAGTAATAAATGCTACGTACTACATTTAGGGAGTGCTTAGTAATAAATGCTACGTACTACATTTAGGGAATGCTAAGTAATAAATGCTACATACCACATTTAGGGAGTGCGAAGTAATAAATGCTATGTACCACATTTACGGAGTGCAAAGTAATAAATGCTACGTACTACATTTAGGGAGTGCTAAGTAATAAATGCTATATACTACATTTACATACTACAGTATGCTTCACTCCATACTGTTATTGCACCACCCTCCTTTTTAAAAACAATAAACGAGTTTTAACCTTCATCGTTTACAAATGTAGCATATGCTTTTATTCAAAGCAACATGCAACTGAGAAAGCAGGGTCCTGGGAGCAACTGGGGTTAAGTGCCTTACTCAAGGACCTAACAGTGACATCACCCTGGCAACCACGATATTGAAACAGCCACCTGATCTGATCACGACACAGTGTCCTAACCCACTTAGCCACACACTGCCCATCCATCTATAGGCAGGCTTCATGCACAGACTCCTAGGCTAACATACTGCACCCTTTCTCAATTTCCATGGAGCACAAGTGCAGAGACTCCACAAAGACATGTCCTCCACAGAAGATGTCGCTTTGCTGCTCACAGTTATCTGCTAGGAAGAGGCTTTCATCTAAAGCAGCTTATATAGTTTCCTGTGTAAATGTTTTACCCATTCATGCATCTGTTACTGCTTTAATGGCAGGTAATTCCCTGTATTTTGTACAAATCCACTTCCATAGCTATCACAGCATTAGATACAAAGTGTTGAGTACACACAGGCATGGTTTTCCTGGAAAAATAAAACACCAAAATAAAAAAACATACAGAAATAAAAGGAGAGCCAGGCAAGCAGGCAACAAACACACACACACACACACACACACTGCTACACCATTGTACACACCAGTACACAAGCACACACTCACGGATCTGTAATCGCAAACACACATACTGGCCTGTGTAGCACTCACATCAGTCCATGCAGTTAAAGAAAGGTCCAGAAGCCTTGTGTGCTAGACTGTGACAATGGTGGGAAAGTGGGGAGGAGGGATGGGGGCCGCGGGTCAGGGTAGATGTCTTACTGCCTACCAGACACATGCAACATGGCCATAAATGGCAGGGCACCCTATTGTGCCATAAGGAAGCAGAAAAGGGGACACCAACTGTGTTTGGGAGCGGTGATTGGACAGCTTTCAGTTAGGGGTGGAGCTGAAGAAGGACGAGAGGCTCCACCCTAGTTCACAAATGAGAGTATGATAGTAGGAAGGGGTGATGGTGTCTTACACCACTACACGTCATGACAGGTGGCTGACAAACTTCTCTACTGTAGGCTACAGGAAAGCAACGTGGAGGGCTTCACTTCAGCTTCCTTTTTTGCTTTAATTCAGACGCATTTTTATTCCCACCAGAAGTCTTTGTAATCAACTGTGCTTTGGTGAGGTTTTGCCGAAAAGCCAATTGGAAGGACATATGGCCAAACCCAGGTTCATTCAGTTCATCGAACGGCAAAAAAGGACATGGCAGACACCAGTTCATCTATGGCTTCAATCAATGGGAAGCATAGACAAACAGGTCCAGCCTAGTTTATTCAATGGCTTCAGCCAATGGGATACACTGACAGCAGAGTCAGTGTGGGTACTGGCAATGGCTTTAGCCAATGGGAAACCCTAACAATAGGGTCAGGGCAGGTTCCAACAATGGCTTTAGCCAATGGCAAGCACAGACATCATGGTCAAGTTGATTTCAATCCTGGCTTCAGACTGAGGATTAATTTAGAGACAAAGTTCTTATGCAACCCAGGTGTCCCTGCTACCTCCATGGGAAATTAATCTTCTTAGTGTTTTATTTAGAAAAAAAAGACTAGAGGTGAAAATTGGTTTGGTAAGTTGTGGTAAGGCACCTTTACCAACAGAACATTACACAGCTTTGGTGTCCCTCCCAAAAGCATGCAAAATGAAGTTCTTCACATCATTTACATTTAGCCTGTTTTGACAATCAAAAATGTAACGTTTCAAAAGCAAAGGAAAACGCACACCAAGAGCTGACGAAGAGGTAGGTCCTGGGCCTGCAGACCTGGCATCATACCTTGGAGTTATTTTAGTGGAGAAAGAAGAAACACTGGCAGCTTCCTGTTGTCCCCATTCTACTGCTTTTGTCTCTAAATTTATCAAAACAGAGATGGACAGTGTTGGCAACATACAGCGAAGACTTGAGTGTCAGTCACAGGGAGAGCGAGAGAGAGAGCGAGAGAGAGAGAGAGATCCCCTTTGTGACTTCACGGAGGATGGTCTCTTGATATCCTTTCCTCAGAAATTTTCATTTTCTCATCAATGAATCTCTGCCTTTAAGTCTCCTTTTTCTTTAATAGTAAATTTTGGTGAAAAGCCATGAAATCAGTCATGACTTTTCCGCTTATTTGGTTTGACCCCTTCGGAAAGTGAGAATCAAGTGAATGCACTTCATTTTCAAGGGAATCTCTCCTTAAGTTACCATGAGCTAATCAAGTGGAATGACAATGAGACCCTCGACCCAAAAATGGTAGACAAACCGATAACATTCTTCATTTTGACAGAAGGTAACCCGACGCACAACTCCTTCAGCCGTGGACTCCAGAGGTCTGGCTCCCTCTGACCGTGACTGGCGTCAGCTGACCGCCATGGCCAATCCCACAAAAACAGACACACTTCTCATCATTCTCAATGCTCATTGCGGTCTTTCTTTTATTTAAGCCCATACTTTACAAAGACACTGGTTTCAGATGACAAGACAAAAACGAGCTGATGGGCTTCAGAGAGAATTCAAATCCCAGTCTCTTTTCAGGTGATGTATTTATTATTGTCTTTATAAAATGTGACCCAGAAGATGGACTGCTTTGGTTAAGTTGGCACACAGTAGCTTTCAAAGGGATTATAAATAAAATTGGCCAGAAAAGGCACCGCAGTCATCCACTGGTCCACCGGCTGAACACAAAAACTCTTTTGCAAGTCATTTAGCTAGTTAATCAGTTAGCAGGTTAGCGAGGTTTTTGATTAAATAATAGACAGAAACACTTTTGTTACTCATGGTCCTCAAAGCCAAAAAGTTGTGTATTTACAGCCTACAGAATGTGTAAAGCTATGTACAAGTGTGGTAAACTTTACACAGTGTTTCCAACTTGGTGGACCTGGTCTCCAGATCTAGAACCAAATGAGAACATCAGTGAAAGATCTGCGTCATTTGTCTCCTTAATATGTAGCTGGATTCTACTTCTGAGTCCAGGTGGTTATGGGACCACGGAGTGATTAATACAACCCGGACAGATCCAGCAGAATTGTTGGTGCCGAGTGGCCCAGATAAGCAGCAGACGTTCCCTTCATTAGTTGGGCACAGCTACAGTGGTTGCTGCAGTACACGTGAGGTACCGGTTGTCCGTCCTTTAACGGACGAGGTGAACAGCGACGGTTTAGAGCAGTGCTGTGGCGTTGAATCTTTGTGGGATGACAGCCTGTTTGTCAGAAGCAGAATCTGGGGGTGGGTGGGTTTTGGTGACAAGGGTATCAGGAAAACGTGTGACCAGAAGATCGTATGAAAGATGACATGTGGCTGTGCACGTCACAGTCTTCATGTCACGAGGAAGGTGATAATTTTTAGGTCATGGTCTCTTAGAGATTTAATTTCAAGCACTGGTTAGTCAAAATCTGACCTTTGATTAATAATGTATTTCCTAGGTGCAAGAAAAAAACTATTAAAAGATGCAGTTTCCATCAGGATAATATTTAAAAGTGGACAGCTTTGTTACAAGATCCAAAAAGCTGCCATCTAAGCAGCTTCAGAAGCACATAAAAATATGCTGACTGTCCAGGTTCCCAGAGTCATTCTTCATATTAATGGGCTCCAGTAAGAATCCCCGAACCCTTGGCTCGACTGCACACCTGAGACAGGTGATGTGTCTATTCCACCACCTGAAAGAAAAACTCCACCCCCTTCTATAAAGAGTTCACATTCCTGGCAAATGCCCCCCCCCCATTTCAGAATGGGCAGGGAAATTTTGTCTTTCTTTTTCATGGCTTAATTTACAGGAGAGTGTTGGTAGTACTTACATGAGACTCAGAGGAACCTACTGAAATAATTATATTAAGTCCATAAGAGGCTAGCCGGTCCAGCAGGTCCTGCGTTCTGGTTCCCTTCAGCACACTACCTCCAAAGCCTCACAGCCCTCAAGTCTTAGAGCCCAAGTACTGGTGCTGCCCGATAAGAGAGAGTGAAAAAGCAGCGGGAGAATGGCCTCTTGCACGGGCAGGCTTGTTCACGTGGAAATGACTTGTATGCGGGGTAGGGGGTGGTGCTGTTGCACAGGGGAGGCGGGACAAAGGAGAGCCACGGAGGCAGTGGCTGCCTGTCCTATTTCGCGGCTGGCTGACTGCCTGTGTGCCTGTCTGTCCTCACACTGTGGAGATCAGTTTGCCTTCGGAACTGTGGAACAGAGAGAGGGAGAAGCTGCCAGGGTGGACGGACTCAGACGGACAATGTGACATCAGACCACAAGGGGGCGGCATGGAGATGCGGGAGGAGGCCACCTCTCCCTCCCATCACTCCCAACATCACATCAGACAATCCTCCCCCATCCCCCCGACCCCACTGGACAACACCCCAGATATAGCTAATTCATCAACCAGCAGGACTGTTCATTAATTGTTCCCAAGAATATTTGAAAATATAGAAGTACATTTCAGAAACAGCATTGACTTGATGATTTTTCAAGAACGCACATATATCAGACACATTTTTATGAAATGAATAGATTATTCATACATATTTCAGAATAATTATGGAATAGTTGTGATGTGACCATTTTATATACATAGTAGATAATTTTCTGGCTCTCCATTAATACAGAGAGTTTTATCAAAGATTCTTGGGAAAAATGAATCGGTCAACATGATGCCGTATGCAAGTTATGGGGTAAACAAAGCCATGTAATTAGCAGGGTGTCTGTAACGACAATGACAGCATTATGGAATGAGGCGAGTAGCCAGCTGTCATGAGAGCGAGGGAAGGCCTCACTTTGGGCTCCCGCTTTCATCATCGGTGATGTCACATGGTGTCATGGGGCTGCTCACACGACAGAAAGCTGCTGTGGGGTGGCAGACAGGCCCAGGGAACACGGCGTGTCACGCCTTCGCCTCAAGCCCTGTCTAGTCAACCCCTAGTCACCTTCACGCCCTCAGCCTGCTGTTCCCGCTGAAGGAACGGCGTCACTTCCTTCTCAGACGCGGCACCGGGAGGTGCAGCCAGCAATCCCACGCACCCACATAACTGGGCTAACGTTAGCGAGGAGCGGTGCCCTGACGGCCCGGCCCGGCCCGGCCCGGCCACTACCCGCAGGCTGCTAGCGGGCAGCTGTCGGGCTTAAGCGGCTGCCTTTCCCTACGTGTGTGTCAGGATGCTGTCTGACGAAAACCAACACAGGGCAGAATCAGGGAGGGTGCAAACGTAGGAGAACATATACAGAAATCAAAGAATAAATAACAAAACCACGAACTGAATTACTTAAAACGCTAAAGTGAAATACTGAAAATGCTCAAAAAGGTATCAATTTGGCTAATGTGGACAAAGTGTTACTTAATTCCTTACTGCTTGCTAAACAAACACTGGCTAAACAAAACAATTAATAAGCGTATCAAACATAAAGTAAAAAAAGAGGAGTTTGTGAAGAGTGTGAGCAGTCACGGTATGTGATTGATTAGCTGTTTGCTTGTCACTCCCTTTAACATAAATTCCTGCCACTGGGACGGCTTCCTGCTGCTGAGGATTCTGGGACAGCAGTGCAGCAGCCGCCATCCCCACAGGCAGAGATGTTCTCCTAACTGGGACAGATACGCCTGCTCTCATCAACCACCACCTATGGTCACTCCCTGGCAGCATGCAGGAAGGGGGTAGGTGGTCCCCCAGCTGGCTCAGCCTGACCCCTGGACATCCCAGAAATCACCATGTCCTGTATTTATTTACATATTGCACCCCTGCCTTTCTCTGTGTCAGGGGCCCAGCCCAGTAACACGCAGAAGAAAGATGATAATTACCATGTGAGGTAAGGATGAGAAGCTTACCTGGTAGGAAACCGTGACTCGTAATCTGCCATTCCCTGCTGGAAGACAAAAAAAACAATGTCATTCACTTCACGGGAGAGGAAGGAGGTCCAGCTGTGCTTCTGCAGTCCTCTGAGGGGTGTTTGGTTTGATAGGTGATTTGAGTGAAATAACAACAGCTGTATGTCACTCCGTCACTGATAATCATGGAGGGAACTCGTAGACTATGACAACACTACACTAATACTAAGTGGACGAAGTTCATACCAAAACATCTGATCCATTACTATTGTCTGTCTTAAGCATTGTTAGACATCACATCGAACTCATCCAGTGCGGGATATAATATAAAATGAACAGCAGGTGGCAGTAAGGAACCAGCATCAGGGGACCTAAACAGTAACGTCTGGTGACTGGAAACCCTGAGGACCAGTCTGTTAGCCCCCCCCCCCTTCCCACCAACCCACTTTATACCTTATTATCGTTTTTTCTCATACCAAACAGTCGCTCAGCTACACAAGGTTCACACGGCCTGCATGCCCCCAGCTGACTGTCACCAAACCCCCCCATGCGTCCCACCTACCCATTGCCATTCTGCTTTGCCTATCATGCCTAGCTGTGACCTTCCTCTTCTCATGTTAAAAGACATGGGGGGGGGGCAGGGACAGAGTGGGCCCATGGCCGGACGCCCACCTGAGAGAAGCCAGGCATGGCCATGCTGTAGGGCCGCTGTCGGCTATGGGCTGTGGGCTGTGCCAGCTGCCGGCTGGGCATGCCGTAGTCAGGGGGGGGCAGGGTCAGGTCGTCCCGCTCCAGCAGGTTTCCCGTGCTGCTGCTCCTCCCATGATGCAGACTGCAGGCAGGAGGGGGCAGTTTCAGTAAAAACAAAGGTACAGCGACCCACACACACCTACCCGAAAAACGTGTGCATGCACATGATGAGGCCGAGTGGTAACACACACACATGGCGACACCTGCTACACACACAGGCACGGTCATGACCCTCCCTCATGAAATATTCCCAAAGAGAAAAACAGATCTATTCAAATCAGCCCAGTACCATCCATACTGCCAGATAATGATTCCTCCTCTGCATAAATCGTTTCTCTTGTGGCGGGGGGAGGCATTAAGAGTAAGATTTGACCGAAGCCAATCAGACTTTCCCGCTTCGGTCAGAAAAAGTTTTTTTTTCAAGACCAGAGATTAAAAGCGGGTGAGAGGAGCAGAAAGATCCCCCTACTGCTTCCTGCCAGTGGCGAATCCACATTTCCATTTTGAAGGATAAAGTGCCAACCAGCACATTAATATTAATATTAATACTGAGGCGGTATAAAGTATTTTTAAATGGAGCTGCTCACTGTGTCCCTCACTGCAGTAATTGGTGCCATTTGTCTCTGCCTTGAAAACAGCCAGTCATCCCTCATGCAAGTCTACCTCAGGGGGGGACCCATCACAGGACACACACACAAACATGCTCACGCCGGGCAGGCACCGGTCCCATGGAGTCTGTCATGCCGGACAGACATCACACACACACACACACAGAACACACACACACTCACTTGACATGGAGCCGGTCGCTTTCATTGGTTTCGGGGAGGACTCGCGTGTAGGAGAACGGGAACCATCCACGCCTGCAGCACAATGACAACCAATAAAAGACTAAGGCTGCTAATCAGAGGGCAGGGGGTGTAAATGCAGTACGCTGGCCAGTAGAAAGTCTTATGAATAATGAGACTGAGCAAGCAGATTGACCTCAGGTCTATCTGCATAACTATATTGTGTTTTCTTTCTGGGTCAGAGGTCACTCACATCTTGGTTTTTTCGCTCTCCCCATAGTGCCAGCCATCCCGTGCCTCGGGCACTAGCAGGGTGATGATGTCACCCTCGATGAAGCTCAGCAATGTGCTATTGTCACCAGCTGCATGGGAGAAGATGGCCTGGACCCGGGTTCGACCGTTGCGCTCCAGCCCTGCTGCCATGGAACTGGACCTTGGCAGTGTCCGGTTCTCAGCTGGAGTGGAGAGAAGCTGCATCAAAGACTGATACACCGTGGTATGAATCACACAACCCACACTGATATTAGACACCTAATCCTCAATAAAATCAAACACACAGTATTCACTGATATCAAATAAAACCCACACTGATATTAGACACCTAATCCTCAGTAATTTCAGACACTGTAATCACTGATAGCAAATAAAACCTACACAGATATTAGACACACATTTCTCGCTGATATCAGCCATTTCCTCCTCCCCAGCGTTCCATCAGCCTCTATTACATAATGTATGATGTGACTTTGCACACGTTTACTCTCCTCTTTCGGGAGACATTGTCCTTCTCCTCTGTCCTTCTCTGCCTCTTCCTCCCACTTCTCTTAGTCCTGTCTTGTTTTCATTAAACACCTCGCTCCTGGTTTAGCATCCTTTATGTGAAGCTAGGAATAGGTGGCTGAGGGTTCCCTTGCATGGTGGGGTTGGCGGGGTGGCTCGTACCCACGGCAGCCTTGCTCTTAGACGGAGTGGGCCTGCGCACTGGGAGAGTGTTGGAGTACACTTCACCAGCCTGCCGCTGCACCTGCGGAGAGGCCGGCTTCACCTGGGCCACCTGCTCCTCCGCCCAGTGTGCGTAGTCAGCTCCATGGAGGCCGGCTGTACCGTTCACCAGGGGCATCGCATCTGGGCTCATCAACCTCTGTACACACGCACACACACATACACACACATTAGGGCACCCACCTCGCACTTCTAACAGAGCTGACACTATCACCCCAAGTGACAGGCAGAGTTTAGAAGTTTGCAATTATTCAGTAAGCATTTGCACAGCTGAGAGGACACTGGAGCAATCGCAGACACAGACTCACACACACCTGGCAGTTTTAAATTATGCTGTTAGTGATAACTGGGCGTCACTGTAGGGAATTTAGTATCACAGACATGGATGTCACGGTTGACTAATTAGGTCACGTAAACACACGCCCACTAAGAGATTCCAAAGCTTCTCTCAGACGCATTACCCTGTAATAAAAGTCTTTGGCAGAGAAGTAGTGTAACACTGGGGTATCATCAGAGCCGGTACTGAACACTCATGGTAACTGACCCGTGTATGATAGCATCTGAAAAGCTCCAGGAGCCCAGGACCCCCCATTCTGGAAGACGGTACAGGAACAGCGGGTGTGTACACCTATTGAAGAGGCTGTGTCTGTATTTGTATATCTGTGGGTGTGTCCATCGGCGTGTCCTTATGACAGGTGACACCAGTAAACTTCAGCCGTCCATAACAACCAACTCTGGGGTTGGTAGGTAAGTGGGTGGCGTAATGGTTAAGAGGCTCGACTCGAAACCAAAGGTTGCAGGGTCACATATGTGATCTATCTGCCTGCTACTTGAGCTAAAGCTGTAAGTAGACCCCACATAAAACAGCCATCTGCGTTCCCCCCCCCCCAACACACACCCACACACCCGGCGGCGATGGTGACAGGGGGTGACACTCACCGTCTGCTGCCCCAGGCTACCCAAGTGTCCAGCCAGCTCAGGCGGCACCGGCAGTGGCTTGGACCCTGGCATGGGCTCAGCGATGTGCAGGCTGCCCTTGGAGGAATGCCGGGGGCTGGCCATGAGTGTGCCCCCACCCCCACACGACATCTGCTGGGCCAGGATCAGGGCCCTCTCCGGCAGCTTGGTGGGGTCTGAGCAGGCCTGTTGCCATATGGGCACCTTCTGAGTCAGCAGGTCTTTGCCCTAGACACACACACACACTGCAGATTATCACACATCCATACATCCATCAATCCCCGAGGCTGGCTCTCAAATATGCACCCCCCCTCCTCAGCCAAACTTAAAACTAATGAGCTTTTAAAATTTGCTTAAAGGGCTGATTAGATTTCTTACTTTATTACAATATTCATTATCAGGAAAATATGCCAACAACAAGCTCTTTATATTTGCAATATTTACAGAAAAATGCTCTTGGGATTAATTATGCTTTATCATCACTAATTAAGGGGTGGATTAACCTTGAATTCATATTATGCCAAAAGCAGAAGAACCAAGCATGAGCCGGATCACGACGGGCAGGAGGTCACAGCGCCTCCAACCACGCCTCATGTCGTTTTAAACTTTCCTCTTGAAGCTCCGCCCCATTTTACCATGAGCTGGACACCGTGTGTGATTCCAAGACAGAAACACCGAAAAGCAGGAGACCAGGACGTTCCGTCAGCACAGATGTTATTAGTAACGTGTTAAAGAAGGAGTTATAACGATAAGGATTTCGAACGTACACAGAACACAATATGGGAAAGCATTAACGTGTATGCACACACACAAAGGCACCCTGGCAGGATAGCTGAGCTGACATGGAGACATCTGGACAGGTGACCCATGGCAAAGGATGTCTAAGTGTGATCTTCTGGGAGGAGGTGCTAGTGATGCCCAGGACCCAGGAGGGTGAGTAGGGGCTCATCTCCGGTGACTCCCCTGGACCCAAAAATCCCTGAAAGTGCGTGGCCCCAATCACGCCCCACCACCCCTCCATGTTAAGGGACAGATCAAATGCAAGGAAAGATTAGTAGCCTGGGCTCCCTTTTTGGGATGTGGTTGTACCGCTAGTGCGTTACACCCCCAGGAGGCTGATCCCTGGAGGTGCGCATGAGTTCCGGAGCATTCCATGGGGTGCACTTCATCTCCAGCAAAGGGGCCCTCCACTGGTGATTCATGCAACAGGTAGGAAAGAAGGCCGTGGTCTGCAACACCCCTCACCTCTCCCACAGATGCAGCTCTCACTCCACTTTCTCCTCCGCATGACTCATACCATCCGCCCCCCATCTCCCCGCCCCCCCACACACTCAGCATCTATGTCACTCGCTTCCCCGGCTCTCAGAGAGCACTTCAGTGATCTTTGAGAAAACACCTCCCACACACACACACACACACACACACTCTCACACACACACACACACACATACACGCTCCATTCTGGAAATCCACTCAGCCCTGACGAGTGGACCCATCACTCTCGGCCCCAGTCCCCCCCTCCCCCAGGGTTATTATAGTTGCTAAATTTACATTAGTTTTCATTTTTATTTAGGTTTCCATTGTGGTTTTCAGTTTTACTTCAGTTTCAGTTTCTTTTAAGTGTACAAATAGTTTTAGTGTCGTTTTTATTTCACGCACATTTCTAGTTTTAGTTCAGTTTTTATTTAGCTTCAGTATCATTTTAGTTTTCAAATACCGAGTTTGATATCACACTGGAAGGGACTTGCATGCTTTTACCTTGCACATGAAACAGCTAAGGAGAAAGTGAGAAGCATTTCGGTTTCCTGCCTTAACATTGACTTCCAAACCCCTCACCTCTGTCCTATAACACCATCATGTTTTTATAGCCATGAAGGACCTGGTGTATTGATGCTCCCAGTCCCCGGTTACAATATGCAAACAGGAATAACATATGATTTGGCACTTTTGGAGAAAGTAAAGTCTATCTGGGTGTCCCCGGTGAAAACCCCTAGGGGAGTCGTGGTTAAAGAGTGAGGAATTATTCCTAGAAATATTAAAGTAAAGCAATCAGACAATCATTGTACAAAGCTTAAGAAAATGCTGAAACAAAGATTAATACAACAATTTCAAACACTCAAAATGCCAAAATGAATAACATTTCATTCAACACTGATTGTGTGAAAGATTCTAACAGTAATCTGCAATGGCACCAGCCCTGTTTTAACCTTGACAATAGGGATAGGAATATGAAGAAATAAGTATAACTAATAAACATGAATCAAATGGCAAACCATTAAACAAAGCTTGGTAACTGGTGTCCATTTACCAGTAATCATATTTTAACAAAATATTAGCCTAGCAAAGCACATTTTCAATTACATAAACCACTGCACAGCACATTATGCGTGTGTCTATAAGACAGAGAGAAAGGAAGGAATGTGCTGCTTTGCTCAATAGAAAAAATTAATTTCTTCTCTCTGGATCGCGTTTTTTACAACTATTTTTGGATCCTAAAGAATCCTTTACCTTTGTCACGAACACTGTTGTTATTCCTGTCAAAAACAGCACACCCAACCTTGACGAACACAGAAAAACACTATACATGAATAACTCAACCAAACGAGAAACGCCCTAACGATCATTGCTTCCTGTGGGCGTTACGATGAAACGTAAATTGCAGCCCACAATCACAGTGAAAATCGAGGGAGTAAAAATTAAGCTGATTTTACCTGCAGTTATATTTTGTTTTAGTTCCTGTTGCGTTATTGTCATTTTTTTTAGTTTTCAATTTTTTTGAAAACCGTCCTTTGTACTTTTATTGCAGTTAACAAATAATTTTTACGCTCACTTTAATTTTAGTCTTAGTTTTCGTTAACTATAATAACCCTCGCCAGCAGGGGGTAGCTGAACACTTGTACCACAGAGGCAGAAGCTCAGTTTGAGTGACGGCAGAGATGCTACCCCCCTGCTCTGAATCTCCCCTCCACAAAAGCCCCCGCCAACTGATATGACTGCCGTATGACACTCAGCTCTCAAGGCAGCCCTGCTCTATGCAACACGGATTGAAAGCATGGTAGCCCATGGTTAGCATATGAATGCAAGCATGAATTGATGGAGGGGAAGGATTATATGTATAGGTGTAGATGATTGGCTGCCTGTGGGGAGAAAGCACCAGATACAAATACTGTGGCGTGATTGGGTGGTGCCGGTCACATGGGACACCACAGTTCCTGGCCTGTGGGCCCTCCTCACCTTGCCATGGTAAGCGATGCTGTTCTTGGCCACAGCACACTGCCGCTCCACCAGGAAGCAGTACCTCCTCCTCTCCTCTGAGAGCGCTGTCTTGTAGCCCTCGGCAATGTAGTTGTCCAGGTCACTCTGCTTGCTGCTGATGTTCTCCACGTACTGGAGGGAAGGGGGGGGGGCATGGAGGGGGCACAGAGATGGCCAACAAGGCGGGATAGCGTTCAGCATCTGCAAGCCAGAATTTCTTAGGCGATACACTGACACATTCGTATCTGTTGGTTTCCCCTTGCTGAAAGAAAGGCCGCACTGCACATTGGGCCAGATGGACTGCGGATGAACAACGTCTCTGTTGATTATGGAAAAGGATCAGCCTGGCATTTATGATGCTTACATTTCACAAGCGTCATATTTGATGACAGATTAGAAAAATTTGCCTTTTCCCTGGCCCTGGGCAAGTTGCTGCTACACACAGGAAACCTGTGGTCTTCAAGTGCATATTCCAGTAGTCTTATTGTCCAGGAACGTTTGTCTGTGTTACTGAACCTCTACTATAACTGCCCAAACTAGCAGGCAGAATACAGCATAAACAACAGTTAAAGACCCAGATTGGTCAGCTGGTTCACTTCCCAGGGATTAACGGTTTCAATAAAACATTTAGCCGTGTACGTTGTTAAAGATGAAAGAGTCCCCTGAGGTCCAAATGAAGGGAAATTCTGCTTGTTGCGCCCACAAGGCACAAATGAAAGTCAGCATCGCTGGGAATACTTAGTCATTTTCGCTTGGACCTCAGCTCAGTCTCCGTCAGTGTCACTGAACAGCCACAGATTGCCAAGTCACAGCAAATGCTCTATAAATAACGGCAAGTTTGCTTGTGGCAAGACAAAACAGTTACGTATTTGCTGAGGCTGCCTTGTAACTTTGCTCTGACTCCTTCCATATAAAGTGTATTCACTGGAAAAGAAAAGTTTCAATATTATAAATATTTGATGCTGACCACACTACCGGAGTTTCCTCCAGTAAGGACAGAGTAAGAGGACAACATTACAACTGTAAGCACCATAATCTGCCTGGACTGTCCCATCCCTGGGGTCAATGAATAAAAGCATATGAATCAAACCTATACAAAGCAGACAGTCATTCACAGAAATTGGCAGTTACTGAAGAACTGGGCTGTAATGCTTCTTCAGATACTGTGGACAAGAGATTGCACTGGAGACTAATCTGAGACTCATTCAGAGTTACTGGAGACCAAACCTGAGACTCATTCAGAGTTACAGGAGACTAATGCTGAGACTTATTCAGAGTTACTGAAGATCAATGCTGAGACTACTTCAGAGTTACTGGAGGCCAACACTGAGACTCATTCAGTGATACTGGAGACCAATGCTAAGACTCATTCAGGGTTACTGAAGACCAATGCTGAGACTCCTTCGGTTACTTGAGACCAATGCTGAGACTCATTCAGAGTTACTGGAGACCAATCCTAAGAATCATTCAGAGTTAATGGAGACCAATGCAGAGACTCATTCAGGGTTAATGGAGACCAATGCTGAGACTCATTCACAGTTACTAGAGACCAATGCTGAAACTCCTTCAAAGTTGCTGGANAGACCAATGCTGAGACTCATTCACAGTTACTAGAGACCAATGCTGAAACTCCTTCAAAGTTGCTGGAAACCAAAGCTGAAACTCATTCAGAGTTACGGAAGACCAGTGCTGAGACTCATTCAGAGTTATTAGAGGCCAATGCTGAGACCCATTCATAGTTACTGGAGACCAATGCTGAGACTCATTCAGAGTTACTAGAGACCAATGCTGAGACTCATTCAGAGTTACTGGAGACCAATGTTAAGACTCATTCAGATTTACTGGAGACCAGCACTAAGACTCATATAGATACAGTAGACAAACACTGAGACTCATTCAGTCAGCATAGATAGATGGAGGAATTCATTCACAAATACAGTAGACAAATGCTAAGACTCATTCAGCCAGTGAAGATAAATGCAGAGACTCATTCACTGTCATTGCATTTATAGTTACTATAGATCACTAGAGAAATCCAGTTTTTGCTGATCAGCACTGGGATTCACATTTACTGCACAAAAATGCTGTAACTGATTCACAGCTGCTATAGACTAACAATGAGATTCCTTGTACTGTACAGCAACCCAGCGATTCACATTTGTGTAGATGAATGCCTGATGTCTTGACTAACACTAAAATTTATTCAGTGCTGAAATTCATCCAGTTATCACAGACCAACACTGACCCTGACACATACTGCACAGAAGTACTGAAACTGATTTCCAGTTACTGAAGTCAAAGTGTGCGGCATACTCAGTTGGTGCTGATCAACACTGGGAGTATTTCACTGTTCGTGTAGATCAGTAATGGGACTTCTACAGTATTACTGGGAGACTCAGTAACAGGACAGGGGCTCTTGGCACACACAGGTAATGTATGGGCCTCACTTTCCAGAAGGATGCTACACTCATTACTTCACACCAAGCCACCGGACTGTGAAGATCTAAAACTAGCTAAGGAGCACTGGGGAATGGAGTGGATCAGATGAGGGTATACTTCAGTGTCTGGTCAGAGGGGCTTTGCTGTGACTCAAAAATGTGCAGGTGATAGTACACCCCTTAGAGAAGTTGCTCCCCTGTTCCACGATCCAACCATCTAAAACACCCAGGCCTCCATTCACCTTCAGTCTAATGTCAGACATATTTCTGTACTCATGTACGAGGGTCATTCACCTTGGCAGGAAGGTCATGGAAACCCTCCTCATGAATTCACCAGGGACACAGGCTTGTAAGCAGATGATTGCCTGTTCAAATCTCAGGAGGGTTTCTGACGCTGGTTAAGTCAAGGAGTCTCTTATTCCTGGCATGCATAATTCAACCATTACATTCTCAAGACATTAAATCTGTTTTGACCTTGTTCAGGATGCAAAACCAGTGGCTACATTCCAAGGGGTCTTCTTTGTGGGCAACAGGCAGAATTCCACAGAGCTCTGGATAAAAAAGAGCCTATGCCGGGTCCCACCACTAGAGGGAGACACTGTTTCGTGCCAGACATATTGATTGGAAAAAATTAGATCCCAGTTTGTTTTTCATCATGATTAAAACTGGCATGGTTTTTAGGTCACATGACTGGGTCCATAAAATCCATGCAACCCATACAGACAGTGGAAAAACCAGGGCGTGGGCAGGAAAAAAAACATGAATTTTTAATGTTGACCGGACGCGTGCATGCCCTGGCTCCTTCCTCTGGGGTTGCTAGGTCAAAAAAAAGACTGTCCGACAATAGCCAATCAGCAACAAATTCCTACCTGGGCATGTGGTCCCATGGTTTACTGAGACATATTGCCGTGGCAGAGTGATGGGACAAAGATGGCAGAGTGGAAAAAGATATAGGAAACAGGTTCATCCCAACCTTGCGGTTTGCGTCACAGAAAAGATGGGGCAACTCCACCAGCTTTTAAGCACCAAAAAACATATTATTATTATTACGGTCTCCATGGCATTTTAATACAGAAATGTCCTTGTCACGAAGTAATGAGTGAGAATAAGAGAAATGGCAAAAACGAAAGCGAACTTTCAGCCATGACATGCTGTAGACAAGTTAAATGCCTGATGCATTATGAGTCATCAGAAACTGATGGACAGAATAATTACACATCAGGAGCAAGCTGTGCAAATCCTTTACAATTCCTGCTTTAGAGGCTAGAAATGATCTCAAATGAGATCAAAATTCCCAAATACATGAAAACCGTAAGGTGGGCTCAGCTTTTGGGGGTGTAGATTCTACATTGCTTTCATAACAAGGTAGTTATGAGTCCTACAAAGACTCCTTATAATTGTCCTTCTGATACCAGTGTGAGTTTGACTGATCTGTTGACCTGGAATACCACTGCGGGGGTACAGACTGGTGGCCAAGAGGAGCTCATGCATTTGGTCATAGCGGAGAAGAGAATGGACCGGACATTCCTCAAGACTATATGCCACTTTCAGCTATGGGGCGGGGGGAATGAAGCTGTTGTTCCAGTCAAAGAGACGTCAGCAGACATTTAAGGTTCTTCTCCACTGGTAAACTCGAGTTACCAGAAATGTGATGGACGGCTCTAACCCCCCCACCCAGCCCTGGACACAGTGACATCACTGACAGGCTTCAGGGACAAATTGTGTGTGCAAAACCCATCCTCGTGATTTTTCTTTGACATCATATGTCTTCCATATCTGTGTGTGTGTGAGTGTGTATGAGAGGGAGAGCATACAGGGTATACAGGCAAATGCTGATGAATACTGTACGTGCATCCTATGCATATGAACACCCCACTGCTGCATTCTGTTGTTTTCCCTTGGGGGGGGGGGGTGTTTGCATTGTCACGCCCGTACAGTCTCAGCATTGCGGAGCGATAATGGAGTGTGGAGTGTTTGCAAGCACCCTGCGGCTCTGTCACCACCACCCCTCCTCCACTAAAGTTTCTGTTATATAGAAACTGCCACAGTAACACGGGAGTCTGGGTTGCCTATTGCAGGCACTGGGGGGGCAGGTGTTTACACAACCTACCCATGTTCATCTCCCACATCACCTAACTTCACCCTGATGCATTAAACAGCCATATTAATATGTTACTTTAGCTAGAGAGTTTATCCCACACCTCCAGTCCCTAGGAGCAAACACTCAATTAGGATCCAGTAGACAGGATGATGGGGATGATTTAAAAATTGTCCAGTGTTAGATTAAAGGGTAATTCAGCTCATTTTCATGTGACATAGGACACACTCGAACAAAGCAAAAAGCCCCACCGCTGTGCTATGCTGTCAAGTTTTCATATTACCTCAAAAGCACACAATGCAAAATTTTAATAAAAATCAATGTGAGCCAATGGGGATAGCACTTTCCAAACATGGTCTACCAGGTAAGGCTCCAACTATTGGAGGTGGACGTGTTGCGACATTACACACCGCCCCCTCCAGGCCCCTCTCATGCATGGCTAATTCACACATTACGCTGCCAATGTAAATGAATGAACATGCAATACCAGTTAACAAACCTGGCAAGGCCACGTTCAGTTGGCTGATATTTTGCTGTGGCTTTAATATTAATACCCTTGTCAGATGGACTGTAAATGGTAAGAAAATGACTTTTATCAATGAATCATCTCTCCAGAATGAGGGACAGTACCCCGGTAAGGGACATATAACATTGGCTAGGTGTCGACTTTCAGCACTGGGATCCACTGCCTGTGCATTTGCTGGGTCAGGCTAAATAATTGCCCCTGGCTTTCATTTTACACAACCCCCCTCTGAGAGTCTAAAATTAAACTCAACCTTGAGTGACTTGAATGTGTTTGACACCTGAAGTGTGTTCGTATAACACCAAATACTCATATCAAGTATGGTATGTTAAGTCATATTATTTCTAATAATCCTGATCCATCCCAGGCAAAATCAGACAGCATCTTGCTGGAACAAACCATTTAACCTGAGCCAGGGGGTTAAACACACTAGGGAATCTACCTTGATAGACGGCATACACACACACACAAACACACACACAGTCGTGTAATCATATCTTTTTGGGGACCACTCATTCTTTTACATGAGAAAAATGCTGATGCTAACTATGACAACCTTAACCCCTACCCTGCCCTAACCATAACCATAAGTAACTATGACAACCTTAACCCCTACCCTGCCCTAACCATAACCATAAGTGACCAAACAAAATACAAGTTTTTGCATTTTTAGTTTTTTCATTGCAGTCATGGATTTTTATAAAATAGAGTTTTATAAAAGGAGGAAACTGGTCCCCATAAGGTAAAAAAAATGAGTATTCATCATGATGTGGGAACATTTGGTCCCCACAAGGTAAGGTACAGTATACCTGGACCACACACACACACACACACAAACACACATATCCTCCAGAAAGCTAAAGACTTGCCTTCTATTCACAGTCCTCCCCCCACAGCACAAACAAAGCTCCCACAATCCCCTCCCATCATTACAGCATAAACAGAGTTGTGGATAATACTCTAAAGACTCCTACAAGGTCAACTGGAATGACTCGCCAGGACCGGTGAGAAAGACTGGTGCAGAGTGAGCTGTCAGGATTGCAGCTCTTCTGCCTGGGTTCCGTAGTGGTCCTCTGGATTACTGCTGTGCGGCATTAAATTCAATTATCCCAAAATTACCCACAGATACACATATATACATAAAGCTGGTCAGCTGATTACTGTTATGTTTTCAGGATAAACACGTCGGCCGTCCCACACGTCTGATTGATGTTTTCATGGAATTTGCTAAGAAACTATTCTCCAATTGTGGATGTTATCTCTCCAAAGAAATTATGCCTGAACTGACCAATGACAGCTCCTATCAGTAAAGAATAATGCAAATCAACAGAAAAATATCAAGCTCCAACCACAGCCAATACGTCAGGTTTGAGTGCAGTCCTCTGTTCGTTTGTGATAGTTTCACACACAAAGTACTGGGAAACCTGAGAATACCCCCCTCCCCCCCTCCGCCCCCACCAACAACACAACACCTCCTACGTCCAGCCTTCCCCCCACCTTCTGGCTCGATTAGCATGCTGTTGATTCTGCCAAACGCCTCGTACTTCTGACGCGCTCGTTAATAACCCCACATTGCGGATTCTAGCACAGCGCATGTACCTTCACCTACACGCGGGACAGAAAGCGGAGGCTTTAGCAATAATATCTGAGGCTGACCCCAATAGCAAAGCCCGCTCCAAACCAGCTGGAGAGTTTCCAAAGCAGCACCTCCTGGCTCCACATTAGGTTCTTCAGAGTGCCGACACCCTCTAGCAGGATAGCAAAAGATGCTGTCGACCCCCAGCCTCTTTACAGCCCTGGAGGGGAAGCGTCTCAGGTAGCTTCAACCACGCCCATACCCTCCATAATCCATGTAGCCCAGCTCACCTGCATCTCCTTGTCGCTGTACTTGGATGGGTTCTTGCTACCCTGGCTCTTTCGCCGAAGCCTCTTCAGCTCCGCCTGGCACTTCTCAAGACTCTCGCCTTTGCTCCTGTGCTCCATCTGATACTTCTTCAGAGCGGCCTGAAAAGGGGCGAGGGCAGAGGATGACTCCTGAATGGGACACGTCACCGAGTAGGGGAGGGGCACCCTACTGGCATTATGGGACAAACACAGGTGGTGCAGTGCTCTGTCCAGTTCAGGACATCCCAATCCCAAAATGGCAGCCATAGTGACTACAGTATTACGATTTTTTGCATAATTTCATTGTATGTGATTTTTTATTATTAATGTCTATGACAGTAGTTAGAGTAATGTCAGGGAACCATTTGGTTGCAAGTCCCAGGATTCCAGTGTTTGCCTAAAATAGCTAACCTGAATTTGTCTGGAAAAAAAATATGTCCAGCCCAGCTGGAAGTTCATGGGAGAAGCTGCAGCTCTGAAGCTTGTTAATAATCCAACCGTTTATTTGTTAGAGTCGAAGTAACTGACAAATCTGGACACACTCCTTCCCCATAGAGCCTCATGCAGAGGAAACTGCAAGGTCAGAATATAGGGCTGAACGATTTTTTCGTTTTCAAATTGGAATTACGATTTGAAGCAATGCGATTAGCAAATTGCAAAGGCTGTGATTTAGGATATGTGTTATACAGCACGCTTGGCACAGCATTTAAAACTGTGGCGAGGATAGTTTTACAGATTCATGCCATCCTCCTTGTATGGCAGTCATTCTCACGAATCAGAAGTGCCATGCTTCTTGCATGCCAGTCATGCTCACCAATGTGAAGTGGCCCAAGGCAACTGCGTATATGCCCACAGACAACAAATATGTGAATCCAGAGGAAAACATTATATTCGTGGTGCGAAAAAGCTACTGAGCTATAAATGAATTGCTTACCTATTTCAAGGTCTGAGTAGCTGCAGGATCCCATTGTTTTTTTTTTCATACCAGAATTTTATTATTATTATTATTATTATTAGTAATAGTAGTAGTATTAATGTAACATTAATGTCACAACTTTTAGGATAATTGATTTATGTTTGATTGTTCTCTGCTCATTTAAAAAAGTGATATATACGCTTTGGAAGCAATTCATATCTTTAAGTTCTCATCCTTGCATTACAATATAAAGTTAATATTTTGATGGTATCTCATATCATGGTATCTCCTATCATCTACGTCATATGTTTTAAATCTATTACACACTGAATACTGAAATGAAGCTTGATTTTTAATAAATATCACAAATCAAATCTCAGTCACGATATCTGTCAGAAAAATGAAGATGAGATATTTTCCCCAAATCGTTGGGCCCTGTCGGAATACCAGCCCACTCTGGGTTAGACAGGCCCTCCCATTAGGAGCTGATTTAAATTCAGTCGAATTACTCCTTACTCTCAGTGTAAGAAAGAAATGGAGAGAAAATAACATGCAATTTCCTTAGAGTTTGTTTTAGCGGGTCGGTACTGAACCCGTGTGGGAAATTAGATTGACGTAGAAACAGGCCCTCGGACTCTCACAGCAGAAAGTAGAACTCTCTGCACTGCCACCGCCCAATCAGACAGCAGTATGCGCCACCGCCCAATCAGACAGCAGTATGCACGACACGAGGGCCCTGATCTATAAATACCCTACATGTGGAGATGTGCTTCATTCATCTGACATTAGGTGGCGCAGCAGTTAAGGGGCTGGAGGTTTGCAGGTTTAAACCTGTGGAGTGAAGCAGATATGGGAAGGAACAAAGCAAGGTAATAACCATCACTTTAGCTGAAGGAAATAAAGTCACTCAAAGCCTTGTTGGTCAAGTACGGAGGAAGCAAGTGGTGGTCAAGGAAGCAGGTTTGAGACCAGGGCCAATATTTTTATAAGATGCTCAGAATTACTCCTGGGAGGGGAACTAAAAACCAATTTGGGAAAGTGGGGGCCTTTGGGGGGAGGGAGGGGGGTTGGCAGATTCTCCTACAGCTCCTCATTACCCTAAGCACAGGGAAGGTTGATTCATGTCAGGTTCATTTTATAATATCTATTATTCCTTTTCCCATTTTCTGCAAAACTGTATGACACCAAATGGGAAACTATTTGAACAGAGAAACATGATTTTTGGCAAAAATACAATGATAATAAATAATAACACTTCATTGATCCCCATGGGGAAATTCTCCTTCTGCTACCCCATCTGGATCTCCATGACACACATGCAGGTGAGAGACAGCTTGGCAGAGAAGCGCATGGAGCTGGGGGTTAAGGGCCTTACTCAAGGGCCCACTGACATGTGACTATTCTGTCGAGGCCGGGTTTAAACCGGCAGCCTTCCGATCACAGGGACAGAGAGCCACATGCTGCCCCCTCAAGAAGAGCATGTCAATCAATTTTCAGAGAAATAGTTCTTATCAAATCCTTAACATACATGCAATGTTAATTATCTGAGGAACATGATTTCCCTGGGCTGACCTCCACAAGTGTGTTAGCAAATTCTCCCATTACATGAATCAAGTGTTATTTCTGCCAAATTATATAAGAAATTTACTTTATAATCTGCCATTTCAATTCATTATGACTGTGATCTATCTCTGCTCTATACACTTAATCGCAATAAGTCTGCATTCCTTCAACTATAAATAAAGTGAATAAAACGTCCCTCCTGGAATGGACCTCTCTGCGCGCTCTCCCAAACACAGGTCAGGGTTAGGAGGACGTGTGACGGATATGGGAACTTTAACAGTCGCCTTCCTCCTTAACTGGAGAAACTAGGGCCTCGCTTACGTCACTCTCTGAGAGAACAGCCACTCAGGACCAGTTTCCTATTCTGTACTACTTTATGAATACCGGCCCAGATTGCAAATTTATCTCCCGGAGGGGGGGTGGGGGGTGGCTGCAGCTGCTGTTGTCCCCTTTGGAGAAGGTACTCAACCTGAATTACAACAGCGAAACACCCCACTGTGGGTAAAGGAAAACTCAAAGCTCTGCTTTCTGTGCATGTGTCTTTTTCGTAGCTGGAATTTTCAGGAGATACAGATATATCAGTATGGACAAATTTAATGAGGGTGGGTCCTGGTTGTCTGGCACTGCCTGGTCACATGACCCTCCCCTGACTGAAGGGGGGCACCGGAGGCTGTGCTGCCAGCCTGACAGACACCGACTGGTTGGCGTGTGTTTTCTCATGCTCACCTACGCGAATCGCACTGCCCGCCAGCTGGCAGTGGACGACTTCGAGCAACATCAGAGGAGATTAATGTGTTTGTCTTGTTTTCTCTTTCTTGTCCTTCTCCGCTTGTGAGGATTCTAAGAGTGTGCACCCTGAATGGTTTCCTTCATCAAAGGTAAAGGTGACCAGGACAGCTGAGCTACAACAGCCTTGGCATAGTCTGACCATCGAATGACCTTCGACCCGGAAATGCATATTTTAATAATGATCAAATATCATATTTTAATAATGATCAAAGCTATCCAATTGTAGCTGACTTACTTAAAGATTTAGGTGGGAAGAGACCATAAAAACACCATTTCTTTACTGTTTTCCATAAGGCCCAGCGGCAGATATATAATTGGTAGATGACATTGGATGTGTAACCATGTGGGCGGAGCCTCCAAGAGTGGCCCTGCTGCCATGCCTGATATAAGTAGGTCAGGTGGTTTGGTACATATCTAGGACACAGACAGAGCACTGGGGACTCGGGACAGGCCGTCCGCCCCAGAGTAGAGGCATTTCAGGAAGAGCCAAAAGCTGTTACCCTTCCTGCTATGTGACAAGCAAAGTGACACATTGAAATACGGTGAAACAGAAACTGTCACCCGATGGAAAAAGGGCAGCTGAGGTATTACGTGGGGTGGGGGCATGTAGCCTCCCAAGGGTCTTCGCGGTGGGGTGGGGGGTACTCACGTTGAGATAGCGGGCGTCAAGCTCAACTTTCTTCTCCAGTTCTGTTAGCAGCTCATTGTGGAATGACTTCAACTGGAAGACAGGGGGTAGCGGTGGGGGTTAACAGGCACACGAATCGAGGCACCCTGCCCACCCTCCAGAGTACACCCGTGAGGCGCAGCGATGCACCGACGCAGCCATGCGCCGACGCAGCTATCCATTGTCTTCTTGCCGCTCGATTGTTTGTTTTCACTGCACTGGAGCTGCTATTTTTGGCTAGAAAGCTAGAGGTCTGGCAGGGGGCCATGGTCACTTCTGACAAGTGCAAACAAAACAAGCCAGTCATCCAAGAAATCAGTGTTTTGTTTTGTTTTTTTAAATGAACAATGGCAAGCACACGCTCAGGGAGGAACGACATCCTCATGTGTACGCTCACGTGTGCCTCTGTTTGTATACGGAACAATGAGCCAGCCGGGTTTATCCTGACTCACAGGCCGGAAATGTCACAGGAAACGAGCTGCCGTTACAAAGTGTTTTCTAAGGTTTGGAGCACTGTGGTCTTCATATGACTGACAGCATGACTGCAGAGTGCCCTCTAAGGATTAAATAACAAAAACAACAACTAAACGATTGATATTTGCTAAACATGGAGAAGGTTTAACATCCCAACTCAATTCTTCCAACCACTTTTCATTATTTTGATCATTCTCTTTTCACCTAATGATGTTTAGCACAAAGATGTTAGGGGCCTTGGGTCTCAATCCACTGAGGCCCCGAAGACTAGCGTGTCCCACAGAGGAGACAAACATCTCACAGTAATGACACCTTCTAAGCTTGGAGAGCTGGGCTTTGGCTTTCAGATGTAGCTAATATGCTTCTTTTTTCTTTGTGACACTGGGAAATAGACCTTCAAGGTCAACATCTTGACCATACACAATCCTGATACATTTTTTCAGGATGGGACAGTCATTTTAGGAGAAAAAAACACAAGCTGAGTAAAAAGACATCTGCTGTGTATAATAATACTTAGAAATGAAGTACACAGTGAAATATTTCTAACATTTACCTCTTTGAAGCTGTATGTATGACTCAGCTTAGCAACCTGCATGCTGCTCCATCAGCAGCGAATTGATCACAAAGGCTCTGAGTCTCTGGGGTGCAGCACTAAACGTACCTGAAAACTCAACCTCCATTGTCATGGTTTCAACAGAAAGGCCAGCCGTGACCAGAATGTATAGCTGTATTCTTTTGGGGGACTCATGCAAGGGGCAGAATGAAGTGCTTACAGGCTAAGCTGTATTTAAAGCTGCCGCATATTCATCTTGTCACTCTTGACTAAACGGCACACGAGTGTCAAATAAGATGAAAGGGTGGAAACTTCCTAGGGAAGTGCCAAGTTCTGATTAGTCCAGAATGTAGACTTCCTTTTCCTGCTCAGATGTGATTGGACAAGAGACACTATGTGATGGAGGAAGGATCTTTGATAGAGCAGGACATGTGCACGGTCTGGTTTAGGGAAAAGGCATCTTGGAATGGAGCAAGATTGGAGGGTGGGGGGCAGGGGTACATACCATCTCTTCCAGTTGCACCTGGATCTGCCTGTGAACCTCAGCCATCTGAAAGAGCACATCCCCTGTGGAGACAGAAGATGGGGGCAAGGATAAACAAAGGAGGGCATAGGGAGAGAGGTGGAGAGAGAGGAAGAGAGAGATAGAAGCACAAGTCTCTCCCCCCCAAACACTGATTCAGTAGGATCACCAACGTGCAGGACAACCATGCAGCCGCACAAACACAAAAGACAGGCGTCTATAAGCGAGGAGGAGGAGGGGGGAGAGGAGGAAGGTGGGCTGGATGGAACACAGGTCAAGTCACAAAAGAGTAGAACAGACAACACTGGGGGAGGAAAAAAAAATGAAAATCACAACAACGATATGGAATAAAACAGACAAACCGAGTGAAACGAAAAACCACTAATTAGTTAACTGGGAAAAATCATAAAACTATCCAAGCTTGCATTATAATTGTCGATTATCGGAGCAAAAAAAAAGAAAAGGGTTTTGAAACTTTTAATGGATTATCCCTTTTTATTAAAATGAGGGATACTTAACACAGCAAAAGGAAGTCAACTGAAGAGAAAGAAAGAAGTCTGAAGAAAGCGAATGAAAGAAAAATGGTGAGTCATGCAGGCAGGAATGTGCGCATTGGTTTACGATACCTACATGCTGCCTCTTCTGATAATGCAATGCATTGTGAAAAAAAGGAACAAAAAGATCTAGATTGAGCAAAGAACGGAAGTAAAAAAAACGACCTGGAGAGACAGGGAGAGAAGAGCTACCCAAGAGTAATGAGACACGAGGCAGACTCCTCCACGCGACTGAACCACTTCAGTGAAGGACCCGGGAGAGGCGTCCATAAAGTGCCCGCAGGAGGCCTGTCCGGCCCCAAGGGAGGCCAGTCCGGCCCCAAGGGAGGCCAGTCCGGCCCCAAGGGAGGTTGCCCCAAAATGTTAGGCTGGATGTTATACAAGAGTTTTTGACTGTGATGACCCTTTAGAAAGAGCTGTTGTTTAGCATGTTGGGTATTTGAAATGAGGACATGGTCAAATTAGTTTGGAGAGGAGGATGCAGCTGACCAGGAGTGAGAAAGCGGTTCAGAAAATAGGGGCCAAGATTCAAGGTGACATGCCCACAGTGGGCAGCAGGTGGTGCAGTGGTTAAGCCCATGAACCTGGACCTCGAAACATGCCTATAATGTAATGTTGTAAGGTGCTTCCTCTGAGGTCCCCCACTACGAAATCCAGGTGTATGAATGGATTCTGTTTGTATGTGGCATCTGTTTGTATGTGGCATCTGTTTGTATGTGGCATCTGTTTGTATGTGGCATCTGTTTGTATGTGGCATACCTTAGGTAACAAAACGCCTGTCTGCAGACAAAAAGGTACCTGTAATATGCAGAACTGAAATATTTTGAATAGTTGTCCTGAGTGCTGAATGTAAAAAATTTGGCTGGGCAAGTCTGTACTTACAAGAGTGAAACTGACAATATCGTGGGGGTGTGACAAAGGTGGGGAGGTCTTTCATTGGCCCAGCAGTGCTGGGAGGTGGGGCGCAGAGGTCTGGCACAGACATGGAATAGCACAGTCCCGGGTCCTTACTGATGGGGTTCGACCGGACCTGAATTCATCAGAACAGCATGTAATGCAAACTGTTACACACAGATGGGGGCTTATCTGAGTTTAACACCGTTAGCCGCAAACGCTTTAGACTTTAACCATGACACACTCTCCGCTTTCCGGTGACCATCTGTTGGGGGAAACTTACGCTTCGTTGTGCCTTCCAGCACCAAGGAAACGTGCAGCTTACTTTCATTAAAAACCAGTGGATAGTTTGGTAAACTCACTGTGGGGTCACCTTGTGGAGGGGCTTAGGGGGGGGCTGCCTGAGCTGTTTTATAGACATTCCAATTACGTTGACCTCCCCCCCCAGCTGCCCCCTGATGGTGATGCCTCAGACCTTGCGCACTGTATTTTCTCTGGTGCTGGTGTAAACACTCCCCCAACAATATGCACATGTAAATACACATAACAACACACACAGAGACGTACACACCCACCAGCCCAGAACCCACCCCGTTCCAGCTTCCGCCTCCACCTTTCTCACCCACCCCAGCAAACAATAACATGATAGGGCAGCTCTCTTTCCTCCCAAGGTCACAAGGTCACGCCGGGATAGGGGACAAAGGCATTGAGCATGGCTGCCCCGCAGGATCCGGCCACCTCGCCTTTATCGGTCCTGCCCACCCGCCCACACCTATGTCGCCCATGATGGTGTGAGGGATTTTAAATTACATGCATGCGGGAGTCTGAACATAAGCGGCAGTAACCCCCCACTCCCCCCCCCGAATCATCACCGCCCGCTGCATGAATTCACGGCTACAGGTCACCTCACAGCGACCAGCCACCCACTGAAAGAAACTGATAAAAGAACAAATAAATGACTCAGCTACACGGAAAATGATGTAATATTCACTTAGCCCTGATCCTCAAGGCACAGAAAGTGTCCATGGAAATAGTGACCCCATGGCCAAGCATGCTGTGTGTGAGTGGCTGGATTTAGAGTAGGCAGGCCCAGGGAGTGGAGACGATCACCCTCCACAACCTCACTCTCAGCCCTCACTCCCAGACCTCAATCCCAGCCCTCACTCTCAGTCCTCACTCCCAGACCTCACTCTCAGCCCTAACTCTCAGCCCTCACTCTCAGACCTCACTCTCAGCCCTCACTCTCAGACCTCACTCTCAGCCCTCACTCTGTCCTCACTCCCAGACCTCACTCTCAGCCCTCACTCCCAGCCCTCGCTCTCAGCCCTCACTTTCAGCCCTCGCTCTCAGACCTCACTCTCAGCCCTCACTCCCAAACCTCGCTCTCAGCCCTCAATCCCAGCCCTCACTCTCAGTCCTCACTCCCAGACCTCACTCTCAGCCCTAACTCTCAGCCCTCACTCTCAGCCCTCGCTCTCAGCCCTCACTCCCAGCCCTCGCTCCCAGCCCTCGCTCTCAGTCCTCACTCCCAGACCTCACTCTCAGCCCTCACTCCCAGCCCTCCCTCTCAGCCCTCACTCCCAGCCCTCGCTCTCAGCCCTC